CTGAAGCAGGCAACTCATTCGTTGAAGGAGCCAAGGACTTCGGTAACAAGGCTTCTGATTTCGTCCAGGGAGCATATGACAAGACCAAAGAAGGCGCTGAACAAGCTCGCGATAAGACTTCTGAAGCAGGCAACTCATTCGTTGAAGGAGCCAAGGATTTCGGTAACAAAACTTCTGACTTGGTCCATGGAGCCTTCGACAAGACCAAAGAAGGCGCTGAACAAGCTCGCGATAAGACTTCCGAGACGGGCAACTCATTCGTTGAAGGAGCCAAGGATTTTGGTAACAAGACTTCTGAATTTGTCCAGGGAGCATATGACAAGACCAAAGAAGGCGCAGAGCAAGCTCGTGATAAGGCAGCAGAAGCGGGCAACTCAATGGTAGATGGAGCCAAGAGCTTCGGATCAGCGGTAACTGATGCAGGTTCTTCTGTTGTCGACAGTGTGAGTGAAGCAGGACAGAACATCATGGGAGCAGGATCTAAAGCATTGGACAAACTGCTCGGAAAGTAAAGTATGAAACGTGTCCAATATGATATATTTATCTTTATAAGATATATTAATAAATATTTTATTGTAACTAATATAGTCACATTTAACCGATGAAATATAAAACGAAACTAACGATCGGACAAAAGTTGATCGCGTAAATCATGTGAAATGTTAAATATTTTGTTATTTTTGAACATTTAAAGTTCTTATGACATCTAAGTCAACCTCGACTACTCCTCGAAAACCGTTATCATCAATACCGTACAACTTCTTGATATACGGTTCGGGTAGTCCATGCTCTACAGCTCCTGCTAATATCACAGTCTGAAAAAGAGGGATCAAACATCTTCGATTTGGGAATACCTTGTAATGTGGTGATGGTTTCTTGAGTTCTGCATCCAGATCAGAAAACTGATAAGTTCTACATTCGATCACTGACTCAGCGCATTGAACCGGCACTAAACCAATCACGAGGGATACTACTTTTATGTTTCTATACAACACCTGTGAGCCTGTGATATCCACACTCTTGTTTATCCAATTCTGGAGAATACTCCAAAGGAACTTTCCATACGCAACCACAAACCTTGAAAAAAAAAGTTTTGTCGGGAAACATTAACCTACCTGCTCTTTCTCATCACCTAAGATGGTAGCTAAGCCTCCTTTCCATCTCTGTGATTCGTGTACAAATGCTAGTTTAAAACCATTAAGAGTTCCATTACAAACATACTCAGCACCCTTATTCTGGAATGAGTATTGCTAAATATTGATAAATATAAGAATTAACAAACCTGTACCCGGATTCTCTCTTTCAATAAATTACTACCGTAAGCAAAATAATAAAAATATTTCATTGTGCGAAGAGAACAATATTTAGAGATTAATCACTGAAATTATTAGAATAAATGAGTTCTTTCCTCTATTGTACGAAAAGCGCTGATTCGAAGACGGCAAAAGTTGAAAAGTTTTCAAATACATTCACAAAAGCCGAAATTCATCATTAGCGAACAATCTATTCGAACACAACCATACAAAAAGAATCTGCATATGAATATGAATTGCTTACGTGAATTCCACGTAAGCATTTTCTACTGATATGCTAATTATAGCTTCGCAAGAGCGAGCTTCGTTGGAGAATCGATCGATTTTCTCAATAAAATTTTAGAGAATAAAGAGTAAAGAACATTTGAAGCTTGGAATACAATTCAAAGTTGTTGAGAGGAAACAACAACAAATGAATTAATAAGGAAAGAGAGGCAAGTATTGAATGTAACTGAGCTATGAGTTTTAATGTTCAAAAGTTGTACTTGTGGTCAGGAAAACCTCTGGACTCTTTTCGCAGTATCGATTTTCTTGAGGCCAGCCTTGAATAGAAAACACTTTGCTTTGAACAAATGATAAACTTGTTTTAACAGAGCTATCTTTAAAGATGAGGAAGTTTGAGTTCTATCGTGCATCGTATCTTTAAGTATTTCCTTTCTAAATAGAAGTTCACTAAATGTTCATTTGTTTAAAGATACTCAAGTATGGATAGGAAATACTATATTTGAGCATCTCCACAAGAATATCAAGGGCAATCATTCGAAAAAGAAATTTGATTTGTTCTCCTCCTATTTCTATATGAGAAGGATCTTTCATTGAACCGCAAAGTGTATATTTGAAAAAAAAATTAATGGAACAAAAAAAAATAGAAGAGTTGTGTACACAAGAGTGATGACTAACCCGTGGACTAACAATCCTGAAAATTATCCAACAAGTTGAATTTACTTAACGTATCTATTGATTTTCATAACTTCATAGAATCAAACTTGCTGATTTGACCTTTTTAGTAAGTTCTCTCCCAAAGTGAAAGCATTTCCTGTTTCACATTCATGCTTCTGATCATGATGTTTCTTCATCATCGGCCAATGAAACGTCCAACATTTCAAGTTCTTTTCAACGTTTTTTTTTCTTTTTAATTTTCATATAATTGATTTGGTTCGCTTCGTTACTCTTTCATCCTTTGAACGAACATTCGTCATCGAGAACTTTCATTTTTTCCTTAAGTTTGATCCAAATCTGGCGTGATATGATCCGAATATTCGTTTTGTTGTCCTGTTTTTATGTATTTTCCCAATCAGCTACGACAGGAAAGAAAATTAATGTGCCCGATTCAGATTCCACACTTCAAGTATTCTATTTCGTCATTAATCTTCACTTCTGACAACTTGTGTGTTTTTAGGATCTAATCGTAAAAACCGTAACACCTGAGGCAAACCGCCAGATCCATGATTCCAATTGGTGGATTGCCACTCCAAATCAACACCATGCCACAAAAGTTTCCGTCAAGAAATTGCTTTGTTTTCACATTTGTCTTTGTTTACAGGTTTCCGTATTGAATAACGGTAAATTGTACTCGACATATTCGTTTGAGACGACATTTCAACGAAGTGCTTGTCCTCAGGTTCTCCCTATCATTTCCTTGTTCTCATGAATCTCTTTTTTTCACAGAAAACACCTCTAAGTCAAGTATCAAAATGTCAATCAGACTCTTCGAAATCTCAGAAAGTCGTATGTTCATATCAAATTTTCATTAAAAATGAAAATTAATTCAGTTATGCCGCACAACGCTGGCATGGAATGAGAAAGACTACTCGTCCATTGAGCAGGAAACATACTGCAATCGTAAATAATTTGTGTTTGTTTTTGAAATATAAATCAAATAAATCTTTATTAAATTAGAAAATATGTTATAACTTGTTGAGATCAGGAGGAAGGAAGGCAAGCGGTATATACAACATTCTGTTTGTCCACGTAAGTACTAACAAGATATTTTTCTTTTAAGATAAACAACAAATCTATATGGTATAAATAATAATTTTTTGGTTCCTAATATGACCCGAGAATTAAATTAATTCCTCTTGCCGAAAGAAGAAAGAAAAAACGATTTGCTGTATGACAATGACAACCGTTTTCGATGCAATGAATACAATGAAAGAATACAATTGAAAACGTGAGCAGCCGACTCACGTGAACATGTTGCTGATTCCACGTGAACCGCTTCGATTTTAAACGTTCTTATTTCTTCGAAAAATGGCATGATGAACAATCGGCAAGATACAAAATTTGATTTTAAGCTTTATGATGAATTGAAAGAATCTAAGATTGAATTCGGCAACTCTACAAGCTCTATCGAGTAAATATTTGGATAGGAAGAGTTTTTTCCTTTTGGAGAACCCGTATACTGGCTGATAGCCAACCTGAATTACTATTGAGCTCAGCAGTTCATGGAGAACTGATAAAATGTAAATCCTAGGCAACCATTGAAGCATCTATCAATGGCCTAGCCATGTATATCGGCCTTCTAGAGCACTGTACTTCAATCATTGGAGCTTGTTGAACTTTCTGATTTCCTGGTCTTTGAATGCACGTCCAGATAATGACTGCGGACTGTAAAACATTTGTATAAATTGACTTTTTTTTCTGATTTTTGTTTTATGTTTTCATGAAAGAGAATGTGTTACGGGGGGATGTCTTACCTGAACAACCACAATCATCAGAAGTATTGAAGCAATCAGCCATGGTAACCAATTCTCTACACAAGCATGGCTCGCCTGAAGGAACAAAAAAACATAAGAAATGTAAAGCAGCGATAGTTATCAATTACCATTTGAACTTCAATTGGCTTAACTTCCGGTGTATGAACATCACAATCACCTTTCTCTTTCTAGAAAATTTCAATAAAATTGAACGAAGGACAAAATTGTAACTTACAATGACTGTTCGATAGCAACACACAATATCTGTCGTATTTGCAACAGGGCGAACTTTATCTCGCTCAGCTTCTGCCCAGCCACATGTTATAACTGAAAGAATGATTTTCATATCAATATATCATCTTGTAAGAATATAGAAAGTATAATCGGAAGCTAAGAAAAGACCAACGATTAACGAATATGAAAAGCTTTGAAAAACGAAAGTTATCACTGACCTGTTCCACATTCATTCATTTTCAAATGAATGTCAGAGCATAGTGGCATTGATGACTCTGGTACATGCAGATAATCGTTACATTGATTTTTGCATATCACTGTCCGTAAAACATCCGCATGACATAGCGTTAACAGCGTGAAAACATATAAAGTTATTTGAAACATTCTGAAAAAAAAAAGATGAAAATGCTTCTATTTCTCTCATTTTACGAAGACCAGGAAGTTGAAGAACGACTATCAGGCAATCGTTTCAATCATATTAACGACAGTAGTAAAAATAAAAAAAACTTAAAGTTCGAAACGTTGAATGTTGGACAAAATGACGCCGACAAACAGAATATTTGTGAAGTAAGAGTGAAAAAAATGAATTCGGCTTGACATCGAACAGCCTCGATGATTCAAACAAGGAAGCGGAAAGAGAGTTGAAAATAGAAATCTATATATTGAATGTTTGAGGTATCTCATTAACATATCGGATACAACGATTGCACGTGGATTACGTGAGAAGCGTAATTCAAGGAAGGCGCGTGAGAATGAACGGTTGCTCATATATTGCCTTGAAAATCTTTTGCTCCCCTTCCTCCAATAAACAGAATGTTTTTGCAAAAAGAAGTGGTTGAAGAAGATCAGGAAAAGCTGAATCAATAGAAAGTCCAAATGTCAATTTGTCTTTAGTTCCAAGTCAAAATAACATTCGATTGAGTAATGAGAAAATGAGAATTCTGAATAAAATGAAAAGGAAGTTATAGTAAACGACAACATAAAATAATCTTCTTTCTGCATTCTATACAGTTGGGTATCGATATGTTGAGAATATCTATTTGTCAGAAGATGTCTCAGGCTCTTAATGTATTTCGTTTCATAACAAGGAAGTATTAAATAGAGAAATTGAAAACATCGTTAAAGTGAGAAAAGAGAGATAAAGAATCAAATTTCTAGAGTTTTGAAGCAAGATAAGTTGATAAGCTTATGAAGAAAACGTTGAAGAATAGCGTATGATGTGTGGGAGTGAAGAGTAGTGGAGGTTAGATGATGGCTAAGAAAAAGCTTAAAAAGTTCAGAAAACTCACTAAAAGCGAGTGTGTGTTTCGGAAGTTGTTTGTGAGAGAAAAAGAGAAGAGAGAGATGGAAAAAGAAAAAAATTAGCTGATGGAATTAATCAGAAAAGGGAAAACGTTGGGGAATATAGAGAAAAAAACCAAATAAGCAACAGAATTATGTCAGCTTTAATAAGAGCAATGCATCGTCACAGACAAAGGGAATTGAAATTGGATTCTGAGAAAGGGGGAAGTTTGACACGCCCATTAAAAGAGAAAAGAACTATTTATGGAGTGTTGTTTCTGTGATGAGGACATACAAAATGATAAATTCTTATTTGCCAGCACCTCTAATCATTCTGTGCTCGTAGTCAAATGAGAAATCAATTGCAAACTTGATAGTAGATCGCTAAAATATCATCATGAATTTAAAACGAAATGTTTAAGGAGAAGACGATTTTCTTTCCGCATAAACGATCATGATTGTACATCTCGATAACATCATCATCACCAACAACATAGAACGCCGAGAAGACAAATTATTTTAGAAAAATGAACAAATAATAGAGAGAGAAGTCTTCGGGTTGAAGAAAAAAGTGAGGAATGAAAGAACCGATGACCAACAATCAAAAGTGTGTTCGGGAGGGGAGAAGAGAGAAGACGGAGAGTGCTTCTCTTCCGGGTTCCTAGGGTCAGCCCTATCGTCTATGTACCAAGCGATCACAAATACTTCAAGGAAAGCTGTTCATGATGACAGAAAAATAGATTGTTGAAATACTGTGCAAAGCAAAAGATAATAATATTTCGGAAGAAAGATAAAATACGAACAGCTTATCGGTCGTGTTGTCAGCTGCTCGTGTGGAATTTGTTCTATGAGGAAGGGGCGGGATGCGGAAGTTTTACTTCCCTCTCTCTCTTTTTCTCCGCGTCTCTCGCTTTCTGCATCAAGCATTTTTCGCCTCTTCAATATAGAGCGATCGATATGGTGCTGCTGGTAGTTGGGGTCTGCGGGCAAGGAAAGCAGAATTTGTCCGACAGTTAAAACGATAAAGAGAAAAAAAGAGTGAAAGAGATACACGGAAATGAGGAAGAGGCTCGAATAGAGAGAGAATATAGTGAAACAGAAAGAGAAACTAAAGGCGATGTTTGGAACTGCAATACATAGAGACTGATGATGAGACGAAAAAAAGAGATGAAAACACTGAAAAAGGAATCACTTCCTGAATAAACCGAACCCGTCCTCCTTCAAACATTAGTGACCTTATAGATAGTACATGGTGGCTCAGAAAGAAATCGGTTAGACATCGAATCGGTAACATAGTCCTTGAGAGAATCTAATGCGATTCTATACAAGTTTTTTTAGGCTTTTCGTTCCTTCTATTCTAAAAATAGAAGGATTAAGTATGAATATTAAATTAACTGAAAGTGAGAGAGAGAGAGGGAGGAAGTTCTTTTCTCTTCCGGTCTTAAGCTCTCTATTACTGCCTGTTTTTGGAGTTCAATAGATGGATGAAAGTAACAAAAAAAGAGAGGAAAATCTAATTCTCGGAAACATTTTTCTGATGAAAAAACTCAAATAATAAGTGAGAAGTGGCAAATGAAATTTGAATGAGTTGTTTGAATAAAAAAATTGAATAATTACGATGGGAGGGGTGGGGGGGAAGTGTTTTGATGGACAGGAATACATCTCAATGACTTATAACAATGAACTGAACTATATATGGGAACGTGTCTGCGTATCTCGAAAAATTGAAAACTTAATTAAAACTTTTGTGAGAAAATGATTTTGTCATTTACTAAAAGTTTTTTGCCTTATAAAGTTATATAGAGGCAAGAGGCAAGAACTGGCAATGTAGGGATTAGAGAAACAGCAGAATCTTGTTCCTTCAGGAGATAGCCTGCTCACATAGGACATTACGAAATAGTTTTATTCGCTTAATAAGGAAGTAATTGTAATAGTAGATTTCATCAAACAATCTATGATTGTATGAGTTGAGTATAGTGTGTAGTCGGGAATATCAGGAGACGCACAAAAAAGTTGGGAAAGAAGAATGATTTGCTGATTAGCAAGTATTCTTTCAAAAATATTATTTAAGAGTGTCAGCACGTGTGGGGGAAAATATATATTTTACTGAATATCTTATATCTTTAGGGAAGCTTAGAAGTTGTCGAAATAACAAAAGACAGACAAATAAGGAAGTAGATTTGCAAGATGAGGAAGAAAGCACTAGACTGCTAGTATTCCCCCAACTCTTCAACTCTCTCCCTCCCCTTCTCTATTTCTCTCTCTCTCTTCTTCCTCTCTCTCACCCTCTCTCGCTCTCTCATTTCTTCAATGTTTTTACCGATGTTGACTCCTAATATAGTTGATTATAGGGAAAGTGAAATTTGGAAGGAAAAACGCTGCAGAAACAAGTTGCAACCAACCGCTCAACAGGCTCTTACGGCTCAAATGAGACCGTCAATTAGAATGAAAAGCTCGTATTGCCAACCTGATAACATAAATTCGCTGTCCACGAGGAAGTTTGTTCATGAATTGAGAGAAAAAAATTGAGAAAAGCGAAAGCTATTTTGGCTCAAAGAGAATAGGAAGTAATTCTCTGAATTCAATGGCTCCCTGATGGCCACACTGATTTCTGAACCCATAATTTGATCCAAAACTCGTTTTCTTCAAATGCTAGCACCAGAGATATGAGATCTCTTTTTGAAAAAGATGAAATTGGTTTATTTTCTGATTACGTGTAGAAGGTGGGGGGAGGGAGGAGAGATGATGCTCATGTCTTTTCAACTTTGAGATTCAGATGGTCATTCATTAATTATTCCCATCATGTTTGGCAAATTATTCATAAATTTTGTCGTGAGTTTCCATTAAAAACGGATTGAATACGTTCATTTCTCCATTTTCGGTTCGTTAAGGAAGTATAATGATGGATATTCTATTCTATTTTAGAATAAAAGTTCCTTTTGTAGACACGTTGTTTGAAATGGTGATGAAGAAGAAACGCTGGCTTCCCCAACATTTTTTTCTTCCTTCTCTCTCTTTTTCATTCTCTCTCTCTCTCTCTTGCTGTCTCTCTCATGCTCTGTCTTTCAAATACTTTGCTCATTGATCAGCTTCTGGAAAAATGATGTGACGAGGCATGTATGTTTCAGAGAATAAGCTCTGAGGAATGACCCACAACGAGCATAAAACCTATTCTGAGAACTGATTGCTTTCAAATTGATTATGACAATGTGACAAGCTTTATCTTGAATATGTCTCCAAATTTCAACACAAATATTCTTTTCATTCAAATTTGCAACCAGGAAGTTTGAAATTCTGAGCAAAACTTAAATTCCGGCCGATTATTGCCCGATTACGAATGGTCGTTGAGGAAAAAAAAACATAAAAGACAGAGAAATTCCTAAATAAAAAGAGATATTTTCACATAAAACATAGAAAAAAACATTTGCAGCTTATCCAGCTGATGATTCCGCTAATCGACAGATGAATTTTTTTTTTCTTTCTCAGTTTCAATTTCTGTCTTGTCTATGAGTCTTCTCATCTGCTTTCAGACGTTTTGCAATTTATTTTTGAAAACTCTGTTGAAAAGTGAGAGCAAACGAACGATAAAGCAGAAGAAATTGTTATCTGACACTTTATGATGTTCAAAAGAGAAAATAATTATGAAAAGCCGTTTTGCTGTTGAAAAACTCATACGGAAGCCTTTTTTTTCGTTTTCACCCTCTCCTCTCCAAAAAAAATGTTTTTGATCAAATTTCATTTTGAAGTCGTTGCGAAGCATAAGCGGTTGCATTCAACAACTTTCATATCTCAAACGATATTGATGTTAAGAAAAATTGAAGAAAAAACGTTTTTATTCATTTTCCCATTTATTCGACTACTCTAACTAAGAAGAGAAGACAAACGTCGTTTCCATGTTCAGCATTTCCAATTGTCCAACTAACTTGGAAAACTTCATTCTTAAACAAAACATATTCAAAATTTACATAAATATTTCAAGCAGCTTACCACTGGATAATTCTCAAGAATTTGAATTGCCTGTTCATAAGTGTATTCCTTACCGGCCTTTAATGGACATTGAAGACCTGCAAAGAGCCTTCTATCTCAGACTTAACTGTTGACTCACCAAAATCACAAGTGTTTCTATTTGGGAGAGGGAAATCCATCATGGTTTCATCGACTTTAGCCTTTACAGCAGTCTCCAAAGCAGATGCATCCTGATCTGGAACAGATTTCTATCTCAACACTGCTCCATGTGCAAAAACTCACTGGCTACAAATGTAATTTTCATCCTAGGAGTACTCTTCTTCTTGAATTCACACAATTTCTTGCCTTTGCTGGTTGTTGTTAAAGAACATCCAGAAACGGCAACATCCTTCAAATCAAAATTAGATTCTGAAACAAAGAAATTCTCTTCGAAACATTTTCCCAGACGCTTACTGCAGTTCTTGTAACCAATAGTCACGAACTCCTCAGCTAAAGCCAAGCTTACAAGGCCAACAGCCAACAAGAGAAACTTCATTTCTGCAAGGAAGTTTATTAATGTATTATTTAGAGAATAATTTATTTTGGTAATTGGAAAGAGGTTGTGGACAGCAGAAAGGTTTCCAGCCAGCCAGCAAACTCTTTCCTAAGTGAACTGATTGCAGAATTTTCAATTTATTACAACCCATTATCACAACTTTGATTGTATCTTTCTCTGCTTCTATGATCTCTCTGATATTTTCAATGCTAAGGGGATAATTCTATGATATCTTGATTGTTGGCATCTCAATGGGCTGAAGGATCACCCGAGGTCTCTATACCTCAGGTGATTGGGAGAAGTTTGATAAATCTGAACTGAATGATATAACAGTTTCATAGATCAAACAATCAAAAATAATTTATTCAAATACAACCGTTTACATCAACATCAGCTTCTCTAAATGATGTATTGGAAGTACATTTCAATTACGTGGAATGAATCGTCTAATTTGCATAATTAGAATAAATAACGTAAATTTACAAACACACGTATAACTTATGATATTCTTCTATCGAACATGTATTTGATAGAAGCTTAGTCAAAGACAATATTAATATCACTTAAATTTCTTTAAAGCTTTTTAAAATTTCCGAAAAGTTCGGTATACTTTCCATCTACTTAGATGCATATGAGTATGTGAAAGAGGAGGAAGCTTGAAGCTTAGAGACTTTTGTCGTATCAAACGTCACACAGAAAATAAATATGCGAAAAACTATATTGAGCCTCAGACTTCCAAGATTCTCTCTTACAAAGAAAGTTTTGTCAACAAGATATGAAATAAATGTCAGTTGAAGGATGAAACATATCTGCATACTTATGGCAACATTCGGAACTTGTTTTTCTGCCGTTGAGCATAATAACAGGCAACAAATAGGAAGGTTGAAAAGAAGAAACCCAGAGCAGATAGAATCCAGACTACCACCACGGGCACACAAACTGTATTTGGTTTGTGTTCGATCAAGGAGCTGACTGATTTGAGGGCTTCTGGAGCATCTGCTTGTCCGGCTGAAACTGCGTGATTGATTATTCGCTCATTGTGAATGTGATGATTTCACTTTATACTTACCGTATTCTTTGTCTACGATGGTCAATTCTGGAGATGTAATATCGACATCGAGGACAGTGTCTCGTCGGCGGATCTCACGTTTAGCCGTTGTTGCACTTTCATCTAAAGTGTGTGGAGAAGATGTCGAGAATGCCGTTTGGTGTTCTGGTCGTAGATAGATGTCTCGGCCAGTTTCCTCGTCCGCTACTATGAGAGAAATTGGAGTTTTCGCTTCGGGGGCGATTTCTAGGCCAGATCCTTCAGATTCCTCAATGCTGTCATTTTGTTTTCTTTCAACAAAGCGTTTGATATCAGAAGGAGTTGGGAAGCTGTCGGCAGGAATAATGACGGTTGTTGTTTCTGGAGCGCTGGTAGAGGATATCTCTGTGACAGTAGTAGTAATAATAGTTGATGACTCGATTGTAGTAGATGAAGTGGTTGAAGGAGCTTGGGTAGTTGTCGTGGTGCTTGGTGATGAGGAAGTGGTTGGAGCTGGAACAGATACAATCAGAAGAGGAAGTTAAGTTAAATGTATACCTTGAGTAGTAGATGAAGGTGTTGATGTGATAAGCTGATCCTGATCTAACTCGTTCTTCATGGGATCATCGTTTTGCCCGTTGAGAGCACCGCATCGTGGTGGCTGAGCAGGGGATTAGTTGATATATAGACCGTTGATGCTTACCACCATTCGTTCACATTCTTCAGTACCCTTGATACAAAGCTTAATTTGACAATTGAAGGAGACGGTGTTCTGATCAGGGAAGTTGAAAGCATTGGAAGCCTTAAACAAGTATAATATATTTTGTACTTAGAACAGTGTTTACAGTAAATGATTTCGTTAATTGATCTGAATAGATGAGTTCAGGCATGAGATAATCGTCAGTTGAACATCTGAAAAATATAAATATTTTGTAAACATGAAAAGAATATTCATTCTGTAAGGATTAGTGTTGTATAGATAAGGTCATTCAATTGTTGTTCCAAAAAGGTTTGATCGATTAAAAAAGTTTTGAAAATTATCCGAAAGGCTGCAGATTATAATACGTATAGTTAGATAGGAATTTGCTGACTCCATATTTTCCAAACAAAATAAGGTTGTCACTTACCCATTCTCGTCGATAACTTTGTGCTGGCTTCCTTGACCATCATTGATGGTACAATTATGAACGAGCATTGCGTATGATTCGGATGAGCAACTCCACACATGATAGATAGTGTCTCCAACTTGTGCATAGCGGGCAAGAGGTCCGTTGGCTGAGTCCTATTCGAAACAAGTTCCAAAATTAAGCTCAATATTCGTATACCTTATGAAGAGTGTATTCGCATTCAGGATTCTTCTCAGTTCCATTAATAGTTTGGGCAGTTGGATCACTAAAATGAGATAATTTTGAAAAAAAAACATTTAAAACTTTTTTTTTCTAGCTTAGTTTCACGAGATAAATGGGCCTTAAGCTAACGATGGCAAGGTCAAGGTTCCAATGGATAAGTTTCGTTGTTCGTATACAATTCGGGAACAATGGAATTTTCTTAGAAAAACGACCTTCATTCGGCACCTTTAGTATTCATCTTGAGATGTTAGCCTTAGAACGCATGGATATGAAAAGACTCACATAAGTTTTACATGTAAATCTCTCTTTCTTTTATTTTTTCTCTCTCGTTTCATCTCTTTCATTATAATATATAATGATTGAACACCGTATGACCACTTATGAGTCCATAATTAGCCAAACGCATAGCGTCATCCAACCTTTTCCTTCTTTTTTCTCTTTTCTCACTTGCCTCCTTCTTTCTTACTCTTTCCGATCAAAATAATTGCTAATTGTTCCAGACAACTTAGGTCGTTCGAGACAACCAAAGCCATGCCTCATCGCAGAACTGCAGACGACCTGTTTTCTTTTTCTTTTTTTTTTCGCCTTCGTCTTCTCACCTATATCCTCTCATTGCACAATAACTCTTCAGTTCATTCATAGATATATATATATATGACATAACATACATTCAATCTCAAGCGGAAATAGGTTTCAAACAAAAAAAGAAAAGCAAACGTTCGCCAAAAGTGAACGAAAAAAGTGCGAAAGCGAAGAATTGCTTTCGTCTTTTCAATTTAGCCAACGCATTTTCTCGGACATTGACCTCAAGAGTTAAAGTGCTTGACTGGCATCGAATTAAAGAGAAACGATCGAGTTCAACCTTATACTCTTCACAGGTTATACTGGCTACCACCTCTTTGCTATTATTCAATGTGTCACTTACGTTATATTCATTCCTGTTCCCACGGCTTTCTCAGTCTCTTGGTAAAAGCAGTGCACATGGAAGGCTCTATCAACTTTCGTAACGAACAGTGGATGCAGCTGCACAACAACAGTCATACTATATGACATTCCACGTGGATTTACCTTAATTTGCATGATTAGCTACTTGATACTCTACATTTCATGTTCTTGTGAAATGAAACTTCATTCGAGTTCTGTTCTCGTCACAGAGTGGTTGCATTCAAAATCAGTGACAACAATCTTACCTCCCTCTTACGGCGGACATCGCAGTTGGCAAAATCAAAAATAACATGAGTCGTGTTACTGAATGAACATCCTTCCTTCAATTTAAGAGTTGTACAAGAAATTTCATTGAATGAGATACCTTCTTGTAATGTCCTTTCGCGAAAACATGGGCTGGAGCTGAATGAAGGGTTTCTACATCTAAAGCTATGTGTCCATGACTACATTGAATGAGCGGTTTATCTAAAGGCAAGTATGTTTTTGAATGTAAAAAAAACTGTATGAGGATAGAGCTAACCTTTAATTTCATTATCAAACTGCGGTATTGAGTAACTCAATGGCAAGAAACTTGTCAAAACAACTAATAAAAGCATCATCTCAACAGTTTGAGAATGTGAGAGGGTCTCTGTATAAGTTGAGACAAACTATTCTTTTCAGTATTCTGAAATCTGAAGAGGTAAATCAGAAGCAAACATAGAACACTATGAGAGTTATTTAGAGCACATCTGGCTAACGACGACAGTACAAGTGAATATATTATACGAAGAAGCTCGAAGGAATAATTGTAAAAGAGGTCAAAATTCAAGAAAATTGACAAGCAGCTGGAATCTCGTGTACCTGGTTGTCAACTGCCATGTAAGGAAAAGATGAGCCTGTGAGGTCTAGGTCAGGCACTTAGACCGCCTCCACCTCTCTCACATTCTTTCAATCTCTCGGTCTCTCTTTGGTCATCTCAGCTCCGCCCCATAAGATTTTAACGCGCAGTAGAGTAGTTAAAAGTGCAATTTTCAATTAAATTTTGCGTGAAATGGGAATTTTCCTCAAGATTTCAATTATGAAAAAGGTTGAGAAGCTGAGGCCAAGGACGATCAAAACAAACATAATGTCAAAGGTGAGTTATGTGACAGGACATCATAATTAGCAGATAATGATGATCATCTGTTCGAATTATTAATCTGGCTGCATACCTTTGATAGTTAATCTGCTTTTTATTATATTAAATAATATTTTTAATACAGGTAACACATGCTCACAGATGGAGGTATAAAGGGAGAATTGAGGATAATCAAATAGTTAAAACTTCCAAGGTTACATCATGTGGGAAACATTTGAAGGACCATCACGTACTTCAATGTTCATTGAAAGCTTGAGAGAGGAAGAGAGCAAAATTTGAATAACTCATGTCTCCTTTTAAGGTCATTACTCGGCAACTTTGATTTTTGTTTCTTCATTCAAAAAGTCTCAAATGAATCGCAAAGTCAAGTGTTTATCAGAAGAATATGGTCTGTGCATTCCATACATTTTTTGAATAGCCGAAAGGTAGCCAATGAAGAAATACTAAAAAGGACATAAATGGCCATTATTCATAACCATCTTGTCAATTTTGAAGAACTTTCAGAATAAATGAAGATTTCTGTCACAGAATGGTCAGTCAAAAGACGATGAAAACATCATTTTGACCTTGCCAAGTTCAGAAGAGGAACGAACAAGGTGAGAAATGGATGTTAAGAAAAGAATTTCCATGGCCTTTCCTTATTGAAAAGAAATTAAAAGTAATTGAAAAGAAAAGATTATAAAAGATAAGATAAATATAGAATAACAAATATCGTAAACGATTCTATTTGTTATGATGGATAACTGTCAAATATTTAATTTTTACGATAAATATTGTAAAGTTGAGGACAAGACTAGTAAACCGTATGGAAAGCTCTATAACTCTGACCATAATATTGCTCCAAGCTCTGATGGGAAAGAGGGGTACAATAGTTCAAGTGGAACTATCTGGAAAGGAGTGAACATCAAAAAGATCGGTAAAAATAAAAAGGAACAGGTGACAATTAGATGAGAAACAGCTAGAATATCAAGTGGATCCTCTTTATTTCAAGTAATTAAACTATCTTTTGAGTTTAGTTTTCCAAAGAAATAAGAAGGAAATAATCCTTATAGGTCATGCCATCCACTCCTTTTTTTCCTTTTTTTTTATACCAAAAAACCTTCTTCGATACAATAATACAGGAAAAAGACCTATGGGGTCGGAAGACCTCTCTTGTTTCGAGTCAGTGATCTCGAAGCTATAACTAAGGTCGAGAACAAAAGGAAGACGGTTGTGTCAGGGCGTGTGGAGCCTCATTAGCATTTGTTCGTCCCATACAGACTTTAAGGGTCAGAGAGTATGGGCATGAGCATTCAAAATTTTCTAAACACCTGTGGAATGACCTGACAGACAGAAAGAATGATTTTGGCAATAAATAAAAGATTGTAAACTGTGCAAGAAGAGCCACAGATGGGAATCGGCTTGAATGTAGCTTAACAAGATTGATTACAGTAGGGGCTGGTACTGTCTCGTCTTCTACACGTCTTCTACATGTAAGGGAGGAGATTTGAAAAACAGGCAAAAAACCATAAATGAAATTTCTGTTCAGAAAAAAATGAGAGAAAGTAAGCCAAACACTTATAATTCTATTGAACTAAAAGCTTTTTTGCTAGAAGGCATTGAATGCCCCGTACACGTGGTGTTAGGTCAGGAAGAAGAATCGCTCCTGACCTCATTCAGCCTCAGGCGGTATTGTCTATGAAAAGAGAATATGAGGATATGAATATTTGTATTTGTGTGATGAGCACGATCAAATATACACGAGATTTGCTTAAAAGAAAACTGAAACGAACTATGAAAATTCATGTTTGAATACGAGATAAACCGGACGAATGAGGGGCAGACGATGAGTCGGCACAAGTTTTATGATATTTCTAGTAAATGAACACAACTACTTAGCCTTTTAAAATATGTTCAGCAAGATAGATGAGAGTGAATCTGCATATAGTTGAAAAGAGAGAAAAAAAGCAGAATGAAAGAGAAACACAAGTAAACAAATGAAGTTTTTAGTTGTTCGCATTTTCATAATCTCATCTACTAGATGATGAATGACATCTATACCATGTATATCACCTTCATCCTACTAACAAGCTTTCCTATTTACAACTTTTATGCTTTACAACAAATAAATTGATACATCGTGCATGTTATAATACAAATACAACAGTTTATACAAATATTTTTAAAACACTATGAACTCACGTTTCAGCTTCATCTACCACTTATGATTGTTATTTAGATGTATCATGAACAACCGCTTAATGCGAAAGCAATAATTGAAATAAACATTTACAACATGCTATAAGGACTTTACAGAATTGTCTTTGATATTAGCATATTATGCTAATTCATACGATAACATATCGTATAGGTATGATCGGCTCTCTTTAACAAACCTATTAATTATTCTAATTGTAAGTATGAAAAAGAAAACAGAAAGGTGTGATAGAGATGTCCTTCATTAGAATAAGGAATACATAGAATCATTGAAGCGAATTATATATTATAACATATTCCTTTTTTGAATAACACAGAAAAAGCGTTCATCTGAACTTTCAGGGACATATGTATAAGGAGTTCGCTTCCTACACCATCTCATCTCATACTGTGTTGCTCATGTTAGTTTGAAACAAATGAAAAGAGAATTCATATGATTACAAGTATATTTATTCAATCTCTTTTTCATTAAAGAATAAGGCCAAGGTGTTTTGACTTCAAACATCTGAACACAAGTTCGTCAAGAATGAAACATTATATTTAAACAACCTCATTATTCTGAATTATTTATTAATCGAATGGATTTCCACGATTACGAGATGGACAAGGGCAGTATTCAGCATCTCCACCAGGTAAGCCTTCTTCTCCAGATAAACCAGGCAATCCTTCAAATACTTTTTTCATTAAAAGAAGAAAACTGTCTGTGGAACTCTATCATTTGAATACATGACGTCGTTCCTTTTTTATTTCAACATGTAGACTATTCAAGGATTCTTATTCATCTTCCTTTCTTACGAAACAGTACCTCACCTGGCAGTCCTCTTTCTCCAGGGATACCAGGCCAGCCAACGTCTCCAACATCTCCGTCCGCTCCAGGAACGCCAGGCTAATATTTAACAAGGTTAATGAAGACTAAAAGAAACGCTTACTATTCCAGGAATACCGGGTTCACCAGGAAAACCTGGTGCTCCGAAATCTCCTTTTTCACCCATAATTCCTTTGATGCCCATTATTCCGTTTTGGCCAGGAAGACCAGTGGGTCCTTCTACGCCATCCAGACCATTCTCTCCCGCAATTCCGAGTTCGCCGGGAGAGCCAGGAGTTCCATCCAGGCCAGGGGTGCCATTCAACCCATCCAATCCAGGCAGTCCCTGATAATAACAAGTTCTTCTAATCTATATACTATACGGTTTCCGCCTCACTATCAATCCGGGTGATCCAGGTTCTCCAGGCTCTCCTTTTTTACCGAAAGGACAAATACGGCATCCGTCCACTCTTTGATATAAAACTTGTGGCAGTATTCCTGGCAGACCTTGATTCCCTGGTGTTCCAGGAATGCCATTCTCTCCATTTAAACCGGGTGATCCTATCAAGCAATATACTTTTTGAACGATTACGTAAACAACCAGGACGTCCCGGAGATCCTGATGGGCAGACATTGAAATGAGTGCATTGGCAGTAATTATAAATAATTTGACGTTGTTTTCGATATTTCGGTTTGAGATTATTCAATTGTTTCCAACCCGTTCTCTCCAACTCAGAAAACGATTTCAATTCTTCTTCCAAAGTAGTGCGTACTAGTGACACACGGGAAAGGAAAATGGGTAAATAGCTACGAAAGAGATGATAAACTGAACGAATAGTGAACGATACCTACCTGTACATAACCAGAATAGTAAAAAACGATAAAGCACATACAGAATGAAGAATATAATGCTCAGTGGACGACTTCATTTCAGAACGAGTGAAGAAATAACTGCAAGATCGTCATCTCTACCTGACGAAAGGATTAAGACAACGACTGGTCCTGCGTTCCACGGATTAAACTCACATAACTTTTGTTTCTTTTCTTCGAAAATCCTTGAAAAATATTCGTAAATCCCTCAAGTATCAACAATTTTCTTAAAAAATCCTTTTTTTTTTTGAAAAAAAATTTTTCAAAGTATTTCCGAAAAAACGTTGTTTTGTTAGTAATGAGAATCCATTTAATGTAATGGAATGTTTTTTGGTGGCTCATACGAGGCTACAGATTTTAATTTCTTTAATGTAAATTTTATTAATCTTATTTTTTAAAAAAATCTTAGAAAAATCCTTGTGTTATCTACTTTATCCGCCTAAACGAGCATCAGGCAAGGGTGTAGCTTCACTGCTATGTGGATCCATATTCTCTAAGCCGCTGATTTTTGCATCACGGCTTCTGCAGAAGAAGATGGTTCCGAACGTACTAAAACGATTATTTCATAATATACTTAATAAGGCGATATGCTATATTAGGATATTGTATAACTCACGTAACAGATAGAAATGCTAATACAATAACAACAGCGACGATATGCCATTGATGCTCCCTCACAGCTACTCTGCAAGAAAGAAATTTCCTCTAAATAACAACAAAACTGGAGTTATCAATTAATTTTCAATTAGTATAACTCCCAGCTTTTTTCGTTTTTTTCTAAACGTCAAGCCCACGTGAGCCACGTCATTTCTGTTTGAGGCGTTCAAGGGTACGGTCGTTCGTAATGCAGTTTCAGTTTAAACGTCAAAAACTACTCAAGTTAAAGTCTTTCTCCGTTTTATGTTTTAAATTTTTTATTATTTATCTTGAGCCAAAAATAAAGAGGAAGAAGAAAACGACTAACCTATGAGGCTTTGGTGTTGTCATATTAGGGGGTATGGTTGAAGCATGTCTTATTTGGTATTCATTTTCTGTTTGAATAGAGCAATATTTGAAATTATGAACACTCCGAAAATATGGACAACCCTTTAAAAGGAAAGCTTTTTTTTTTGTTAAATTTATAAGAAAAAATACCACGGAAGGACAATAATAGGAGTCTTGCGAGAAAACAGCATCTGAGATATTATAACTTGTCCCAGATATCATTCGATTCCATAGCCATTTTGCAGCGTACATATGTCCTTTTCTTAAATATTAAATTAATTATTAAAAATACAAAAGAAGGATATAATAACCGATTTAGTAAAGGCTTATCTTCAACGAATAATGAATGTGGATCTCTTGAATGAATGGTTAAGTGAGGAATAGCCAACACCCCGAATGTACTATAGTTTAAGGAATTGAATTCATCCTTCAAATGTATTTTTAAAATATATATTTTCGATTATTATTATCAATATCCTACTTGAACTGATACAAAGACTCGCTTCCACTCCGCTGCGATTTTCAGATATTGGCTCTTAGACAGATCAGCTAGGCATGGACAGCGAGGTCTGAAGAGCATACAATCTTTCTCAAACGATTATGACTACAACTTCAATAGATTTCTATTCAAGCTGAACGATAAAGCAACATGGGTTGGGCCTAACAAAACTACAAAAGCTTTGGGTATTCCTTTTCTCAGAATACCCAGAGCTTGTCTAATTGATGAATGACTCGGTGCATCACAGTGATAACAAAACTATAAATAGTTATATACAGAAAGATAATAATAATATTTTTAATAACTAACTTCTTCACTTCCCGTAGCAATGATTATCAACGTCCACTTTTCATTTAATCGTTTTGTGTATTTTCTCATTCTGAACACTAACTCTACAGCCTTTAACAGTGGTTATCCATTGACAGCCTCAGTCGATGAGTCCCAACCTGTTCTGGTAAATGCTCTGTTTCGGAGTTCGATTGAGCTACGTTATACTGATAGGCTGGTAATTGTTCTCTATCACCCATTCCATGAGCAGTCCCCTCTAACTTTGTATTGAATTGGGATAGAATATCTATATAAGGTAAAACAAAATATTTTTTTCATTCTCGTTTACTCGGAATGGTTACAAGTCCGTCAATATTTGCATCTCCTCCTATAGGAAACGCTGCTCCTCGAAATTCTACATCAGTACTAGGCCAAAGTCCTCGTCCTGTCTAAAACATGAGAAACTTTTTTGGATTTTTAAAAAAGTTTTGTTTACAGCCAATGAGTCTCCCATAGCAGCCACAATATCAATATCTTCCGGGGAGAGATTCGAGATGTTATCACCCTTCAATCAATCTAATGATGAAGCAAAACAATGAAACTAACAGTATGAAGAACTGGTTTGACTAGTGGACATGCAAAAGATCCCCGCGTATTAAAGGCTCCCTCGATATCAATTTTAACGGCTTCCAAATAATCATCTGGATCCATCAACGAACTTCAAATATTACATATCTATTCCGTGATCACAATATGTATGTATAACTCACTCATCTCCATCGCTACTGCTTGCTCTTGAGTTCCTATGTGAGTGGGTAAGAACTGTTTCCGGCAAAGCCTAAATCAGACATCTATTATCCTTCATTCATTCTCATATCTTATTATTTATTTCTTACCGTTAAAACAGAAATTACAAAAATATATTTGGGTAGCATCAATCAATATGGAAACTACAATCCTCTTCATTCGTTTCACTCAATTTATGCGGAACAGGTAGTTATGCCGAAAATCCATAAAATATTCCTCGTTTTCCGGGAACGTTCGACAGTACTTCTAACAGTTCCGTTGAAAAATTATCAAGCAGATTACTTATTCGAGGGAGATATTATATTTATTTTTCTCAAAAGAGAAGTGACTGATGTACAAACGAAACAACCTGGAGGTCATGCAATTCATTAGAAACCGGATTTCGTTTTCTTTATTTCCTTCAAGTATATAATATAGATAGTATATTAAACGAACATTTTAACCAACCGATATAGGCGTATGAGAAAATGAAAATGAGCTCAATGACGTCATAGCCACGTTTCACGTGAAGGATCATGGAGAGCCCGCGTGACGTTATGAGTTGACCTGAGATTTGATTCATTTCTACATGACTGACTTGAAAAATCGTAATTTTCGAATAAATAGAAAATTCACGTCATCATGAATTCTGAAACAGATTGTTTGATGCTTCTTCCGTTGTTAAACTGAAAATGAAGCTTGTATAAACTCTATTTAAGGCTTAAGGCTGCTTAGTTTCGTAATGAAATTTTGTTTTGATATCATCTGTCTCCTGTGAGATGGAAAGAGAACACGTTTATAACTTTATTTTTTATGAAATTAGAGTAAGTGAGTAGAGTGCGTTGATGGAATACAAATTGGGAAGAAGAAGGAGCTAAAGCTTCCGACCGAGACAACATGAGCCCTAAGGAGGTTGATGACGAGCTCATTTTTGATGAAATGTCAACATTGGAAACAAACTGAAGGAATACAAATGCATGCGAAATAAAAAAAAGATAACCGAAAAAGGAACTCGTTTTGCTTGTTCAACAACACTCTTATGGGCATTTAAGCTTGTTATTGGTAAACTTTGTAAATCATAAGTCATCGTGCATCTTCATCTAATTATCTCACAAACCATTATATCCTGTAAAGCAGCACTTCCAATTGTAATTTCATACTATTATACCGAAATTTGTCATTCGGTCGGCTTCATCCTCCTTCTCACTTCCTCTTAATCTCCTTATTTCTCTCTCTTTCACTCTCCCTCTCTCTATATATTTCTTCTTCTCTCCCTCTCTCTCTCTTTATGCTCTGCTCTTATATCTCACCTCTTAACGCGCTCTTTCTGTTTCGTATATTTCTCTTCGTTCTCTCTCATTAACTTCATCTTGAGGTTGTCACTCTTTTTGTTCTTCTCCTCATTCATTGCATCTAATTCCTTTTTCATTTATCTCTTTTTCATCTCTTTCTCTATTACTCTCTCAGTTATTTCTTGCAGTTGACGATTCTCTTCTCAACTAGCTTATTCATTCCAGTTCACTCGGTGGTTTATCGATTCCACCTGCTCTCTTTCTGGCTCGGCCCGTTTTACATAAAACTTTCTTACTTTATTTTGTATTTTTATAGAATATAATAGATAGCAAAAGATAAGAGCAAGTTAGAGAGAGGGGGAGGATGTTATCAAATGAGTTTATGGAGATAATTCCGGTAATTTTGCCATTATCGGCTGAATGTTCGTCTTGCACAAAATCTCATCGAGCTTCATGGGTATGTTGTATGATATTGCTTCTTTTCCAATATACTTTTCTGATTTAAGTGCTGCTCAACATGCTATACAAATGGGCGTCATAAGCTTCCTCAACTCTTTGAATGTTTCTTTTGCTCTGAAAGTTGCTATAACGTTCAGCAGAGGCATCACAAACAATTATATCATCAGTATATGAAAAACTTCCCTCAATGTTTGCTCCATCAGCATGTAAATAACAACAATTCTGATACAGAATCGGAAAATGATCAATTAGTTAACAATGATATACTAAAATAGAAATTCTTATTGCATAAACCTCATTAACCACTAGAACCTTGACTTTCGAATTCATTTTTATTTGATTCTTTGTCTGTTCTTACGTCAGCTTACTTAATGTTCCTTCTTCTTTTCATAAAGCTTTTCCTAAACGTGTCATGCTTCACAGCTCTTTCTTCATTCACATCCAAAAATAAAAGAAAAAAAAAAGAGGAAAAAAAAAAAGAATAAAAGTCTTTTGAAAAACACCATTCTTCTATTCCATTCTGTAGTCAGATTAGCCAAAGGTGAACAACTCTGTCCATATCATATTCTATCTTGTGTATTATTGTAAATGTGCCATTTAAATATATTAATATGAACCAAATAAAAAAATTTTTATTTTTTTTATTTCCAATTCTGCTTTCAACGGATTTGAAGCAATGAGCGGGAGGAGGAGGAGAGGAGGATTGGGGGAGTATGACGTCGTTTTTGGCGAAGTTTGCACTTGCATTTGAAGGGAGGCAATGAACGGATCAAGAAAATAATAAATTTATACCGTATTTGAACAAAAAAATTACATTAATATCGTCCAATGATGACATTTTGTTGAAAATAAATAAAATTAAAACAAAAAAAACTTATCAATCTTTCGAGAGATTTATGGAGATGTTTGTGCTTTTCATCCATTTTTTCTATTCTTCTCTCTCTCTCTCTTTCTCTTCAAATCAATCCCTCTCTCTCTCTCTCTCTACCTCTCTCTATCTCTCTCTCTCTCTTTCTCTCTCTCTCTCTCTCTATCTCCATTCTTGTCCATATGATAGTCAAATGTTTGACAATTCTTGTTTTTAACTATCAATTTTGATGAAATATTACTTTTAAAATATATTCTTTTACATCATTTAACTAAGAAAAATGATTTTTAAACATATTGTGTTGAGAATGGTAGTTGAAGGATAAGGAGAGGTAAAGGTCTTCCGGTTCATAACTCGAGAATGGGCAGAGAATCCAAATGTCATTGTGCTCATGTAGGCACAACGTTTATCCGGATCATTCTCTACTCTAAATGGAATATAGTTTAAGAGAGAACCACACAGAGAGAGCTATTTAAGGAGAGAGAGAGAAAGAGAGAGAGAGAAAGGAAGCTGTGTAACACCTTTAAAAAGGTGAATTCTCTTAGTTATCGTTTAGTTTGAACATTATATTTCTGACTTGAAAGATCAAAGACTTTCCATTCATTGCCTAACATCCAAGCCGCTTTTCATCTTTCATATTCTTTCTTTCTCTTTTTTTTTGTTTCAAAAATAGTTTATATATTTCGTCTTTTTAGTAAGTTGACAGTATGAGTGACTTGTCCTTCATAAACTTTTCCTTTTTGTCTCCTTTTCTCTCGTTGTTGCTCCTTTGACAATTCCTATTCATCATTATATCTCCTAATATATCTCTTTTTTTGAAAAAGTTCATTCTTCTCATAAAATATTTAATGAAAACAAGTTATTAAAAGATAAAAGATATCTTTTTAGTTTTTAAAAATAACCTTTTAACTCTATAAATAAGCTTTATAAAAGAAAAAAAGAGAGAGAGAGAGAAATGGGGAGATAAAGAGAGAGAGAGAGAGAGGAGGACAAAAAAAGAAGAAGAAGAATAAAGTAAATGAAATAGACACACTCTCACACACACATATATACAACCGGTCCATGGCGTCATTTTGCTTGAGAATGACTCAGATATGATCTTGACAGCGGACACGTCAACGTCACGTAAATTAGCATATTATACGATTACAGGAAAGCCAGAAATTAAATAAATTAATGACGTTTCATATTGAACTGCGTGCAACTTCTCCTATTTAAGTTTATTTTACATAAATTATGTAACAAGGAGGAAGTTTGTGAGGAGACTCCCAAAAATTAAAATTTAAAACAATGAGTATGAAAACTTAACGAAATGCCAAAGTTTCAGGAAGTAAAGAGATAGAGAGAGATATAGAGTGAATGTGAGAGAGAGAGAGAGAAAGAGAAAGATAAAGAGAGAGAATCTGCCTACATGCTCTACTGAACCTTTACATGTCATCATCAAGTTTATTTTCGAATATTATTTAATAATAATATCAAAAGAATATAAATTCACGTGTAGATAGTCTTTATTATTCCGTTTTTTATTCATTCTTCTCTCCCCCACCCCAACTCAATGAGCTTTCTTTTCCATCTCCAAATAAGGACTTCATACATTCTTGTGCCACTTTCGAATAACCTTTTAAAATATAAAATCGCCTACACTATTTATTATATAATTATATAATTATAGCGTATTCTTGCTTTTTATAAGAACAAATTATTTAAAAAGTTTTTGTGAATAGTAGAATGAAAGAGAATGTGTGTGTGTGAAAGATAGAGAGACAGAGAGAGAGAAAGAGAGAGAGAGAGAAAGAGAAATAAAGAGAGAGAGAGAATGGAGAGGGAAAAAAGAGGGAGGGTGTCAGATAGGGGAGATATAAGCTGAAGAACAAGGCGGCAGGCGGGAGAGTTAATGCTCAACTACCGGCTCCTATCACAACACACAAAACATTCTTCGATACTTTGAATAAATGAATGAAAACATAAACTTTCGTTGAATATCTTCTCTTTCTTCATCTTTGACAGCTTAATTACATTAGACTATGTTGTGGGGTGGCATTTTAGTTTTTTTTTGTTTCTTCTGTCTTCATGTCGTTTACAATCCTCTCATGAGGCAAATTGTCTGTTCTCGTCTCCTTTTTTGGCTTTCCAAAAATGACAAAAGACCGTCAAGAAAAAAAAAGTTGTTTCCATATTTGTCTTTAAAACAAAACACAACGAGTAAACTTCCTCACACAACACAGATTTCCATTTCGTTCTTTCTCTTTTGAGGAAAAAAAATGTCGAAATTGAGAAAATGGGAGCTTATCTCATTCGCTACTTTTATGGTTCAGCATTCGTGGTCAATCTGTCTCTCTCAATCTTCATTCTATCGCTATCTCTTTCTCTCTTACTCTCTCCTTGTGCTCCCTTTTAAGGTATAACGAATTTATTATGAAAAATCTTTTTTTTTCTTATAGTAAAATGTCTATATTTAGTTTTTTATTTTCCCCATTATGAAAATTCAATACCTTCTTTCTTAATTGGCAAAGTGATGGTAATGCTAACCTCTAGATATCTTTCATTTTCATTCTGCGAGAAGGCTTCATAACAAACAAATAATTTTTCTTTTTATGATCCTTCTGACTGAAAGCTTTTTTTAGTTTTTTTCCTTATTTCTGACAAACTTAGCATGAATAGAGAGGGAGAGAGAGATATAGAGGGAGTTAGATAGAGTGACTGAGACAGACAGACTGTAGGTCATTCAGGTCTCTGCCAACAAATCCCCCCTCAAATTTTTAAGAATAAATAACTTTTCATTGAAATCTTCTAAATTTAGATGATGTACTTTAAGCTGTCGCCCCTATTCAAGTGAATTTGGAAATTGAGAGAGAAACAAATATTATTTTTGTTAGTCAACACAAAAACTATTTCAGTCGTCAGAGCGGAAATGACGATCTTCTTTAAACTGCTTCATGTATTTGCTGTCATTTAAATCTCCAGAAAGAAGTTTGCGTCTTCCCTTCCTTCCCACAAATTCAGATGATCTGTCTGTCTTATCTGGACACGAAATGCTTACGAAATTGTTTGATTAAATTCCTGAAATATTATTTTAAATGTCGCCATTTTCTACGAGTTCATTCACACTTTTGACGTCATATTTCACACCGTCGGTCAAGCGAGAAGCTTCCAAAGTTACCAAAGTCATAAACTTCACACATTCTTTTTTTTTCTTGCAGTTTGCAGAATCTGTTTCACGTCATCTGAACGCCTTCTTGAAAATCCTTCAATAGTCATAACATGAAGAAACAGGGCTTTTTTTTTCATTAAAAAACAGCATCCCACATCACACATTACACTGCTCGAGAATACTGATAATCTGGCCGATCCGAGGAATTCTCATCCATTCTTAAATCCTGATGTCACCTTCTCTCATTATAGCTTATGGAGTCATATCATTCTTACGCAAATACCATCCCCCCTACTCTCCCTTCATTCTTCCTACCTCCCCTCCCTCTCTATTTTATTTCTTTCCCTGCTCATCCACCTCCATTTCTATTCTCTTTGTTCCTCTTCATCAAGTTTCTTTTTTTTTCTCGAGAAATTTGAAAAAACAAATAATTGATGATGTTCTCACACTCACCATGTTTGACCGAAACAGATAGATCATGTATTGTACATTTTCGTGCGTTTTTCATTCAAAACATTCATTTTCACAAAGTATCCCAGTAGGCCAAGTTCTCCTTGACATTCTCTTTGGTAAGTATGTCCATAGCCGCTATCTTTTTGAGCTTTCTAGTCACACACGCTTCTCCTATTGACCTTGTCGTCATAATGTCCCCAGAGGCTTAATAACTCAGGGATGAATATATGTAGATTTATATCTTTCTTCTATCTCTTTATATATATATAGTTCATATTATTTCTTCCTCAATCACTTACCTTCCCATGGAGGCTTCCCTCCTACTAGTCTTCTTCCCTCCCACTCTTTCTCTTTATCTATTCCTTGAGAGGTATGAATGCTCTGTACCCCCTCATTTCATAAACAGCACTGTACTCTATACATCTATGCATTCAAGATTGAAAACTCAATTATAAAACTTCATTCATTCAATTATTTGAACTAATCTGCTATTTTCAAAATATTTTGTTGATTACCTGTTTTCGTTTAAATTTTTTTTCCATTGAAAGAGATTTCAATTTTTCCAAAAGATTCTCCAAACAAAAGTCAACAGCATTCTCTGTCGAAAGTGCATATCCGAGCGTTTGATAGTTATTTATGCCCTAAATGGTTTGAAAATAAACCGTGTTTTATCCTCTCTTCTCTTCCCTCCCTCATTACTTCCTTCCTCCCTCGCTCCCTCCCTCTCAATTTCACTATATATACATATTATGATAACTGATTACTAATTTCTTTTTAATTTAAGGAATGCATAAATTATTTTTACTAAATATTCTCATCGGATTTGTTTGTTCTTTCAATTTTCAAATTCCTTATGGAGTTAAGCCTTCTCAATCAGCTGTTCATATGGTCCTCGAACAATTTCCACATTGGGTACGTGTTTCCCACCTTGTAGTTTATTGTTTGTTTTGCCTACGTCAGATTTCCGAAAAGTTCTCGATAATAATACAAGAAGAACAACATTCGCTCAAATCAGATGAAGTCCTTATATCCACTACCGCTAAAGGTCAGACTCAGGTGGTGGCAAGCAGTGGGCTTGCAGCACTCTATGGCATAAACGTAAGATAGTTTGTATATAGTTTATGTTGAAGAATACGTCTCGTTTTCAGCACTATCTACGAAATTATTGTTTTACTCAAGTAACGTGGGATAACAGTAGCATTGGGAATGGATGTTCAGATGAAAGTATCAATGACATCATTCGATTAGAAGCCCCAGCGTATGATGTTCCTCACAAGCTATTTGATCATATAAAACTTGCATTATTTAGAGTTCGATATTTCGGTAATCCAGCAGCCTTCAGTTATTCTTTTGCTTGGTGGAACTGGAAGGATTGGCAAAGAATGCTTGATTGGCTCGCATTAAGTAAAGATTTCTTTATTATTATAACCTTTCGTGGCTGCTTGAAAAAAGTTATAAAAGAAGCGATTTCGGTTCATAAAAATATTTTTTTTTCTCAAATAAAAAAATTTCGTCATTTTACATTTGGTGGCGGATATGATTTTGATTGAATGACGACAATTCTAGATGGATTTAATATGGTCTACATGCCCATCGGCCAAGAAGCTCTATGGAAGGAAGTATTCATGGAAATGGCTTTATCACGTAATGATTTGGAGCAGTACTTCACTGGGCCTGCTTATCTGGCATGGTAAGCTTCCCGAATTTCTTTTTTTTGTCTTTTTCTTGCAAAAAATTCAGGAATTTCTCTTTTTTTATCTCATTTATGAGGCACAAAACAAATGAAAAAGTTATGAAAATAAGAAAATTTATGTTTTTTTCCAGGAATAGGATGGGAAAGTTAAAGAGTTGGGGAGGTGGCTTGACTGATTCTTTCATGGATTCACAGCTGGAACTTGCAAAGAAAATTGTCGGAAGAATGAACGAGCTGGGGATAATCCCTGTATTGCCAACTTTCTCCGGTATCGTACCTGACGTAATGGAAAGGTAAAAAGACTACTTTCGCATGAACAACAACAACATACTGCTATATTTGAAGTTTATTCGCTGACGAAACTTTCGTGAGAAATATGTGCTGGCAAAACTTCGGGGAAGATCAGAGCTGTTTGTTATCCGTTCATCCGGCTAGTCCTCTTTTCCAAGAAATCGCTGATCGTTTCATGAAAAAGGTAAACTAGCTGTTTCTTTTTTGAACTTTCTTTGTCCTTTTTCAGCAACAAGCAGCATATGGATCTGCGACCCATGTTTATAGTGCCGATCCTTTTGTCGATATGAACTCACTGAATGATTATAGACAAGTTAAATTACTTGCGAAAGCCATTTATACAGGATGTGCTCAGAACGATGAAAGATGTATCTGGTAATATGAATATCGACTTTCCCTTTTTAAACGAATTCCATTCAGGCTTTTACACTCATCAACATTCGATGAGGGTGGTTGGTCAAGCAAGCTCGTGAAAACGTTCCTATCGGCTATTCCATTGGGGAACTTATTGATGATTGATCAAACAGCCGAGCACCATCCTCGATGGGTCGATTATAACTCATTCTATGGACATGCTTTCGTATGGGGATTCCAACATAATGCCGGAGGTTCCACGGAGATAAGAGGGAACTTGAAGCATATGGATAAGGTATTCCTCATATCTATATATGGTTCTTAGTATTGTAATACAGAGTTATCAATATGCCTTATCCTCTGAAAATTCAATGATCGGGGGAGGATTAACGATGGAAGCTATCAATCAGAATTTCATTGTTTATCAGTTCATGATTGACCGGATGTGGAGAAAATCTCTCGCACAGCTTTCTTCATGGTAAAAAACAGATCTTTAAATATATATAAGAATGTATTAAGGCTATCATCATATGTCTCATCTCGATATAATAGCCATGATGAAACAATGCTAAAAGCCTGGAATCTAATTGCACAATCTTTCTATTCTGAGCCTATGTCCACGGGAGATTATCCAAATTTTTCCATTTTTCTCTACAATCGACCAAAGTTTAACCAAAGGATAAAGGTTTTTTTGAATTCTTTTCAGTTTTTTTCATTAATTTTTAATTATTTTTCAGTATTGGTTTGACCCCAAACTAATCGGGAATATTGCCAATTATTTTGCTTCTTCAAAAGATATTTTATGGCAGAATGACCTGTTCAGGTACTTGCTTCCTTAAACTTCTTATGAAACTAATTGAGCTACAGACAGGATTATAATGATTTCATGAGAGAGTATCTCCAATACCAACTCGGAAATCGAGTTATTCTTCAATTCTATGAAGGATACGGTATTGGAGACAATGATCTCGTACAATCATCATGCTTGGACATCCAGAAAATGTTCAAAAAAATTAATCAACACACTAACTATAACTTGTTGGACTATGAAAAAGCTGCGGTTAGTTTTGGTACGACAGACCGAGAAAGGAAACAGCTTTCCGAAAACTCTCGAGATATTCTGACCACGTGGGGTCCATCAGCCCAGAATTTAGGTAGAGTGATAGATTGACTTTCGTTCAACGCTATAACTCATTTTTATAGATTCTGCTCATCGAGAATGGGCTGGTCTGATCAGTGATTATTATCAACGACGATGGGCTTTCTTCTGTGAATGGGCTCTCACCCACAAATATTTCAACGTGACAGCTTTTAACGAAGGAATTATGAATTTAGTAGAAATTCCCTTTGTCACAACATAATTTCATCTTTTCTCTTCTGGAATCGAAAGAAACTGTTATTCTTTAATCATTCACAATTAGAAAGAAAAGTGAAGATAGAAATACAGGTTATCAGCTCTTACTTAACACATTATCATCGTGAATTTCAATTTAACATTCCTTTTTGATCTCCTCTACCAATAGAAATGATCTCTTCCTTATTTATTTACCCTTTTTTATTTTATTTCGTCCAGAGAATGCTAGGCAAAGAACACCTACAATCGTTCTTTTATACAACTACAACTACAAAATTGATTGTTAATCTTTTATTTTTACTATTCACAATAAAGTCATAAAAAAATATTCGATGCTATATCAGTTTTTTCAATTTGTATTGTTGGCGACTACTCCGGAGAATGCTCCACTCTGATTATAACTCAACAAACCATTCAGTTCATGCCAAACACGGAGAACGGTTGTATTCAATGCTCTTCATTAAACGGATAAAATTTGCAAATGGTCCCTTGTTCAGCGAAAAGTAAATTAAGAACTAATTTGTTTCGAAATTATTGGAAAGGTTCCACCCACGCTGCTTTGTAAAGAAAACAAAAGTTCTGAGATGACTAATTGATGTCTATGTGTGTTCCATCAGCTTACTTCTATCATTCAACAATTCCTAATTGGAAAAGTTGAAGTGAAGAAAACAATGTTTTTAAGAAGATTTAAAAAAAATGGATGTGAGTTCTTTCATCTTTAATTGTTTTTTTCTTTTTTTCTGATTCAAACTTTCTTCCTCTTTTATTCCGCTCGGAAAATGGATTAGAATGGCTTCTGAGATTAACAGGAGCGGCTGAAGACATCTTCAATCTTCGGATCTGTACGAACAGAGCATGATATGAATTGAAAGATAATACTATGAAGCTGTATCAATATGATTTAGTTCTGTCAATTGGTCAATGAAAATTTGAATATACATGAATCTTTTCATTCAAACAGAGGACGCCACAAAATTTTTCACGGTTATGCAAATTGCACACGTGTTTTTGACTTGACGGCGACTTGAGCTCCCCTGGGACTTTTGTGAATTGATAGCTTCACCTTAAATGACATGACTTCCCAAGAAAGAAACAAAGAAGATATTGATAATACTAATGAACCAGCCGTGGTACTCTCTATTTGTTACAGGTTTGTAAGGTTAGTGTTTCAATGAATAAATAATAGTATTGAAGTGGAGGCTTCATGGGAGCAGCAGTCTATCAGCAAGATTGTACTACAATAAAGATATTGAATGACATTGCAGAAGATTTAGACTTTCATTTGATTGATTCTTGTAAGTTCAGAACACTAATGCTCATGAAGTTTGTTTGTTCACAGTAATCTATCAAGTGGAGCCTACTATCATTTTGCTCAACAAAGATCAGGATATAATATATGTTCGACATGTTTCTCAGATCTGTGAGTTTTCCCTGTTTTCAAAAATAGAAAGTTCCGAGTATCAGGTGGCCTACTGGAACCACCTATCGAAAGCTGTGAAAACGATCAAAGCGGGATATCATCCATTTACGACGATTCCATTGGTTAGTCTCTCGTACTTATAAATTACCTTTTATCACAGATTCCAAAGAAAAATATGAGGAGAGTGTTTTGGCCAGCAAACGGGAGGCTGCTGAAGCCGAAGAGAATGAGGAGGAGGAACCGAATATCAAAGTTCATCTACTATCTAACGCTACCTACAGTCTGTTCCATGCAAGGATTTAAAGTGATATTCATGATTCCAGGCTTGGAAGGAGCTAAGAAGAGAATTTCAATGATGTTTGCCTCTGAGTGCTACAGTGCAGATGAGTCTTCCCTCGTAGTAAACTTCCGTCTGGATACTACAAATGTTAACATGGTGCGGTAGTACACTTGACTGAGAACAGACCTTTCTATTACAGATTAGAGCGCTTGGAGCTTTGTTGATTTATATGGATAGTGCTAGAACAGGGGTGGAATATGAGGCTCTCAACAAAGTCACTCCAATAACAGCCATAAAGTCATTTGTTATGTAGGTCATGTTTCCTTTTCGGAATTCGAAAAAACCTTTTAAGCGATCAGATGATGGAAGTCGATTCCATGACTTACAGGGCTCTTGAAATTTTCGGGGAGAATAGAAAGAAAGAAGTTTAAGTTCGCAAGTTAAGCTAATATATATTTCTGTTCTCAGGTGAGCTGGAAGAAAGTGGTCTCTTCAGACGGTCGGAAAGCCAGTGTGTTTAGTCTCTGTAATAGATCACGATCAGCATTAGGCAGATATATGCTGAGGTTCTTGAACTGCTAGGGAGAATGAAAGTACTGTTGTGTTTCAGAAAATGGTTTGAGCACCCGACTCTGAACATGAATGTGCTCAGCGACAGACAAGAGGCCATTTCCTATTTCATTCAAGTTTTTAGTTTTCTTCTAATAATTTAAAATCGGTGTCTTAAAGGATTCCAACTCGGACATTGTGAACAACCTTATTCAGTCTCTTGGTCAAGTCAGAAGTCTACGGGTAAAAATTCATTTTTTTTTCTTCACGAAATATCTTTCAGTTAGTTTTGAGAAAGATGAAGTCTTCCAGCTGCTCCGTTCTTCACTGGGAGAATCTTTTTAAGGCGAGTTAACAGTGACAGTTACATTATTCAATGAATTCTAATGGTCCAGACTTTACTTGCCCTAGTTGACATAGGTAGATGCATTGCTGAAAATAGGATACAGCTAGACTTGATGAATGATCACATGAAGTATTTCGGTGATGCTTTGACCGAAATAACAACAGTTCTTGCCACTTTGGTAATTTCAAAGTTTCGTCATTGAAAGATAATTAAGCTTCAGTGCGATTTTGATGAATCGAGACTTGAGAACAGGATTGTCATTAAAAGTGGCATGGATAAAACCTTAGATGAAGGTTGGTTTTTTTACTTGTCTTCTTTTTTTCATGATATCTTCTAGTAAAACACCTCTATCGATCTCTTCCTTCTTTTTTAACTCAAGTAGCGAAAGAAGAAGCTGATCGTCTTCGAGCTGACAGATGTTCTGTGGGATACATTCCGATGGTAGGATATGTATTGCAATTGCCGAAGAAGTTCCCGGTGGGAGACTATCCTGAGTTAGCCTATTTTTCTTTATCACATATGTTTGGTTCAGTCTTCAGCTATTGTTCTGTAATGAAGCTGATGTGAACGTGAAGAGTAGTAAAATGGAAACCTTAGATCAAGATTTGGGTGATTTGAAAATGCAAATCATTGACAAAGAAACAACAATCATGCTCAGGTATCCAGGGCGTTTTCCATCTGTTATACTGTGTTTGCAGGCTACAAAATCTAATTCTCCGAAATACAACTCTTATTTTGGGGGCTTGTCGAGGAGCTGCGGTGCTGGATGCTATCATAGCTCTTGCATTAACGGCCAAGTTTTACGGGTGAGAATAAGGTTGCATCTCGAACACTGTTCACTTCGTTTATTGAAGGTGGAGTCGTCCAGCTTTGGTTGATTATTCTGTGATAGACGCCGTAGATGTAAATCATCCTCTAGCATTGATCGTCTCCAGATTTAATAGCTTTGTTTCAAATCCTGTCAAGTGATCATTTTTCTGACAGAAAGATAGAAAACTTTTTTTTTCAGTAGTGGGAATGAGTTCAGTAAAGTTAAAATTTTCACTGGCCCAAATGCATGTGGTAAAAGTGTTTATCTGAAACAAGTTGGCGTTCTCGCTTTTCTTGCACACGTGGGAAGTTTTGTACCGGCCAAAAAAGCCATTATTGGTCCTATCAACAAAATAATGACCAGAATGTATACTGTTGATGGTGTTTTGGATGGGATGTCAACTTTTGCTAAAGATTTGACACAGGTAGATTTTATTAATCGTACGGTCAATTGTTTTTCGTAAGGTAGCAACTGCTCTTCGAAGAGGAAATGGAAACTCTCTCGTAATCATGGATGAGTTTGGAAAGGGAACTATGACGGTACTAGTCAGAATCCAATCAGAAACATTTGTAAGTTCAGGAAGTAGGCTTGTCTTTACTTGTGAGTTCCTTGAACCATTGGATTCGAAAGGGAGCAGAATCATGTCCTCATCTGTTTGTTTCTTCTCATTTTCATGCATTACCAGAACTCCTAGCAGTATCCAGGAGTCTCGTCTCATTTCATGTAAGGTGATAGTTGCTGAACTTAGTTATATTCTCAACTTCAGACTCTAGAAGTAATAAAACGAGGAGCTCAGTTGGTATTTAAGTATCGTTTGGTAAATGGAGTTGTCTCTAAATCGTTCGCATCTTATACGGCAAGACAAATGGGAATTCCCAAACCTATCGTTGAAAGAGCTGATGAGGTTAAGCTGGAGCATTCACTAATGTAACAGTTCCACTTCTGTAGATTTATGAGCTTTTACGACGTGGAGGATCATTAGCAGAAGTAAAAGCTATACAAGAAGAAGAAATCAAGTGTGATTGGCTTGCCCAGAGAGTGGACAGTTTTATGTAAGTTCATTGACTGTCATATACTCATTCAAGAGCTTATTAGGTATGAGTTCGAAACTTGGGATATTGATCAAGATGTAGGGAATCTAATAAAAAGAATAGAAGAGATATTCTTACTCGAGGATGAAGTTTTGGCATCCGTTGAATATAACAAATTCTCCAAAACCGCTGACACTGTTGATGCGGATATTTCTAACCAAACGTCTGTAGTAGTAGATTCACAAAATTATGAACAGCAAGTAAGCATTTAGTTGAATACAAGTTATTTTGGTTTTTAGAGTACTGGAGATGATACTTCTACAAAAGCTGCTATAAGCAAAGAAGATATACAAATACAAGAAGACCTTGATACAGAAAGCACTGAAAGAAGTAGGGCTGTGGATGAGATATTGAAACGAATTCTCAAATCTTCTAAGAAGACACAGGAATTAACTCCTTCAGGCCGTTCAGAAAGATTTGATCATTTTTCTTTCAAAGGGAAAAGTGTTCACAAACCTTTTTGTCAAAAGCCGGACTTACCTTCGTTAGATACCCCAAAAACATATGAATTGTGCACTCCTAGAGAGAGAAGCATTCTCAAAACTCCGAGTTCTCGTAGTAGGGGGTAGTTGTATTGAAGCTGTCATAATACTTTCAAATTTGATTCAGGAATTTATCTGTTTCATTTCTCCTTGATGACAAAAAGGACCACAACGACTGCACAAGTTCATCACTGCATAAACCGTTAGTTTTTTTGGTTCTTGTTAAAAACCTGCGAAATGGACCTTGTTAGATATTAAATTCTCTATCAGACTCATGAAATTCATTATTTCCCATCTTACTTCTCCGCTCTCAATCATTATATAATTATGGGCAAGATTTTTAGGAAGAAAATCGAAATGTTGGGAAGAGTTGATGAGGATTTGAGTTTTGTTATACCGCTTGTTGAATCCTCTCCGGAACCTGAAACGAGTGAAGATGTACTGCCAATGGACACCCAGGTTATTCTTCTTTGTATTATTTCACACTCAACTTGATTCAGGAAGAGATTCGGTCCTCTTTCATCAAGAGCAAATTTGGAAATACTCCTTTGCAAACTCCAATCATGAACCAGATGGTTTTGAAGACTCCAATAATGAACCGGACGGTTGTTAAAACTCCTACCAGGAATCAGAGTGCTTTCAAGACTCCTATCATGAATCAGAGTGCTTTCAAGACTCCTATCATGAATCAGAGTGCTTTCAAGACTCCTATAATGAATCAGAGTGCTTTCAAAACTCCTATCATGAAACAGAGTGCTTTCAAAACTCAAATCATGAATCAGAGTGCCTTCCAAACTCCAATCATGAAAAATCAGGTTTCCAAAACTCCTACCATGAACGAGAGGGTTCTTGGTATTTCGATCATGAACCAGCAGGATTTCAAAACTCCTACCACGCGCCAAAGGCTTTTTGAAACTCCAACCATGAACCATCAGGTTTCCAAAACTCCTACCATGAACGAGAGGGTTCTTGGAACTCCGATCATGAACCAGCAGGATTCGAAAACTCCTACCACGCGCCAGAGCCTTTTTGAAACTCCAATCATGAAACAACAGGATTCCAAAACTCCTACCACGTGCCAAAGGCTCTTCGAAACTCCAACCATGAACCATCAGGTTTCTAAAACTCCAACCATGAACGAGAAAGTTGTTAGAACTCCGATGATGAACCAAAGAGTTTTTCAAACTCCAATCATAAACCAATCGTTTTTCAAGAATCCTGTGATGAACCAAAGCGTTTTCAAAACCCCCAAGGTATCCTGTTCTCTCAGATTTAAACACTCTTTGTTTCAGGCGAACCCGGTTGCTCCAATTTATGGTATTAAGAGAAACATGGATATCTCTATACTTTCATGCTTATCGGAAGAAAAATCTGTACCATTAAAAAGATTACGTTCTTGTTGAATTATATTCCCTGTACTAAAGAGTTTTTACCACATTGTCTTTCTTACCGAGCTTGGTCCAACTTTTCCACGTCACCATGACGTGGATAGGCCGTAATCAAGTTCATTTTTAAAAAGTATGGTCAGGCATTGGTTAGCTTTGCTTCCTTTATTATCTATAGCGACAGCTGAAATCACCATTGGTATTTTAAAGTTTTTTCTTGTTTCCTTATCATTTCAGAACAGGAGGAGAGTGCATCACAAGTTTATCTAAGTGGTATGCCAATAATGCAGTGGAACATGGAGATGATCCAACCAAAAATTTGGTAGCAGTTTTCAATGATGGGAAAAAACAGTTCCTTCGACCGGAGCTCAGTAAATCTTTCAATGTAACGTATATCCCTGTTTGTATAATATCGCAATTTAGTTTTTGTTTGAAGAAAACGTGTTTTCATATTACTATCTTGGAGTGCATAATATCAGCATCATACGGTTTAGTTTTTGAGCTGCATAACAAACAGATCATTTTCTGTGTTCAGAGTTTCTGCATCAACCGTTTTTTCGGATCAACAGTTCTGTTTGTATTCTTATCCCACTGCAATCTACTCAAAGATCACACTCAGCCAGCCAGAATGTTTCTCGAAGATGGGATTGTAATGAGAGAAGATGAAACTTCCAACTTATTCTTAATTTTCAGAAGAGGAAAGTTTTTCCGAATCTACTCTTCTCATCATAAGTTACCACACTTCGATGATGCAGCCGTTTCATGCCAAGATTTGAACCATCTTTTATCATATGGTAATCCCGAGTTGTATGCGGTTACTCCTCTTTCGGAGAGTATGGCTACCAACGGGAAAATAATTAGTGAAGCTAGACCATTGAGATCGTGAGTTGTTTCAAGCGATTTGTTTTACTTTTCTAAATTACAGGCCGTATAAATACGCAACACTCGTAGCACTCGCCTTTTTCGGCATTGCTGTTGCTTTTTGGGTGATTGCTTGCTACTCCTTGAATATGCATTTCAAAGCCCGTGTTGTTGCGAAATGTAGAGCCATCGTTTTGAGAATCAAGAGCAGCAGTATTATTTTGGTTTTTTAGCTCGCTGTTAAACTCGAATTTTTTGCAGTTATGAATGAAATGACTGAAGCTCTGGGTACTGCAAGAGAAACAGGGTTTTCCCGAACTGGCACCACATTGACAGGAGCATCAGGAACAAGTACAGGAGCTAGTACTACTCAGGGAACGCGAACGGCTACCCGTACTTCTACAAAAACAAAAACTAGGAGTAGCGGAGGTTCCTTCTAGAATTCAGAGGATCAATGTTATGAAAAAAGACATTTTGTGATTTGTTTCAATAAACTTCAATTTCTTGGAACTTTACATAAAATTTCGAATCTATCCCCGGGAAGCAGTTCCTCGGCCATTTTTTTGGTAACCAGTTCGATGACGACAGGCTATAAGACGATATATCATCATAATTATTGCAAAGTTGTATACCTTTCCATTTAAGTAATAAGAAATTGTATTGTCTCTTTCAATGAAGTTTCCTATGTACTTAGGCTTTGGAAATCCAGTGACTATTCGATCCCTAAATTCGTTCGATACTCTTTCAAAATCTTTAGATAGTTACGGTTTATCCAGGATAAGCAAAGTGCCTCTATATTGTAAAGGGTCTGCACAACCTCTGGGTCTGTTGACGAGGTATTGTTTGAAAGGGTATCTTGTATATCTGAAAACACTTTTTCATACACCGAAGCTTCACGTAAGTCACTTATAGTGATCAGAATGAAGCAAGAAGAAGATGCCATCACACTTCTTTTCATATGTTCGAGGTGTGTAAAACTCAGCACAATGAGTTTTTTCATTGTATTCTGCAAACAAACCGCTGTTTTGCGTAGCACTGAATAAAATATCATTATGGAAGGGTTATTAGACTGACTATAGAGCTATAGAGGTGAAGTTCAAGTGTTCTCTAAGGTTATCAGTGGGAATCCTATAAGCATGACCTTCTCTTTCATGAACAGGAATAGCAAACTGAAAAGTTATTTGAATACATATGCTCGTGACCTATCTTACAGGTTTGTTAGTTCTATCACCATACGCCCCCAAGACAAAGAATATGACGAGATGTACCGACCGAATCATTATTGATGAGATTCGAGAATGATAGTTCACGTTCAGATGAAAAATCAATAAACAACATATGCAAATGAGATGGAGAATCGGAACACGCAGGTAGTAAATAGCTTATAACGCATTTATTATTAAAACTTTAACAGATTTAAGACAAGAAAAACCCGTATCTGTATGAAGTGGTAAGGACTGAGAAAATAGAAAAATTACAAAAGGTTCCTAGCCGTGCATGTTGATCTAAACCATGTCAACGGTTAATTGACTGTTCATAAGCATTAATTTCTGTTTCCCAATATGAGGACTGTTCGGCGTATCTTGGCTTATAGTACTGGACTTTGGAGAAGCCTGGAGACAAAGCTCATTAAAGTCGGTCTCAAATTCATTGGCGTACCTGAGTTAGAGACTGTGGTTGTGGATCATCGAGAGACCCAGCTAAGCTACTTCTATACGAAATGGATTGGAGAACCCGCATAGATGATGTCATCTTCAAACAGTTGTCGTTGTTTTTTGTACAAAAATTTCCAATAATCAACCTGTTTTCTCAAACTTCTATGGGAAGGTGATGTAGCATGAGACATGGTAGATCGTTTCCTTCGTTCCGTAGCAAATCTACAAATTCAATTAGGTAAACAACTTCCAGTCGCCTCTTCTATACCTAATGAGGTTTCTTAAATCTCTATTCATTGCAGCATAAAATATCCAATCACCAGCTGCACTCACGTATGTCACCCAATTGGAGAAAAAAATCAGCCATCGGATGGAGCTGCAATCGTTGTTTCAACTCTTTACCAGTTTCGTATCTTACGAGAAATCATTGAAGTTATCAAACATTCGAATTGAAGCTGTCAAGTCAGAGACCATACTGGAGTCGGGGATGAACTGAACTACACAGAAAGGAAGCCAACACAAAGCGTGAAAGCAGGCTACTCGAACGATAGCCGAAGTCATTTGCCTCATGTACCGTGGCTCTGTAACCAATGCTTCTCTTTGGCGAGTGTGAGCAACAACTGAAAAGTTTTTAATGAACATACGAGTCGTTAGATGAGACATACCTCTAGCTCTTCTCTTTATGAATTTTCTCCGTACATGTCGAACAATTTGACCGTAATTGACACAAATCGTTGTTAAGTTAGCAGCAAACGCCAGCGCAGTTAAGTATGCTCCTAATCTAGGTACCCAACGTCCCCGGTATGAACGGACGCAGTTAAGTCCATCGGACGAAACAGAAACAGAGCTGACCTAAATGAGAGGTTTAATAGCTGATTTGGACTCGAAGTACTAACCTGCAGAAGGACGGCTGACAGAATGACAGTAAATAGAGTCAGAGCAGCTATTGGTGTCAATCTTACAACGCGTTTCCGGATCTAAAACGGAACACAAACTAGAATGAGGTAAGATCTTAACAAACCTGGCTACAGAAAGGTTTTCTTATGGTAATGTATCTTTCAATACTTATGCACGAAAGAACACAAAGTGATGACATTTTCAGAGCATTCTCAAGGATGAACATCACACGACAACTGTTAGCATCTGCAAACAAGTAAATAATATCATTAAGCTAAGGATTATCGTTGGTTATTTCTTCATCCATTTACTCTCTAAAGTTTCTTCAGCTAAAAATTGTTCTCAAAAACCGCTGTGGAGGATTAAATGATCATCCAATATACGGAGGTATTCGTTTGTAATTTCATTTTTTAGATTTCTACGAATGCGGAAGTTAATGAAACATGTGGTAGAGAAATTGTCGGAGAGCAGTGTGCCAGATTATGTCGTCAACGACGATTCTTGTCCTAAGGCTGCTAATCTGCTCTGAGAAGATTTTGAAGTTATGAGCTTTTTGATACAAAACCAATTCAAAACTTCAAAAAATGGCTAAGTAAGATGGTATAGAAAGGATTTTGATACCACAGAGAAAAAATAACAGCTATGTGCTAGTGATCCGTTATAAAAATAAAGGGTTTACTACGTCAGACCAAGCTCAGAAAGATGTGAATAATATGTTCAGAAAACGAACCCAACATGAAATGGGGAAGAATGAGATAGAGTGACCGAACCAACAATGCCATCAATACTGTTAGATCCACAATTGCAAGAACTGATATGTAAGCTCGTAGACGATCTGATGGTGAACTATTACCCATCGAACTTCTAAACAATCGGTTTGTTGCAGGATAGTGCTTATAGCGAACCTTGGCTTGCGACTTCTAGCCACTGAACAAACTACCCAAACATTTCCAAGAATTCCACACAACACTGTGCATAGATAAAGGCCAGCTGCCAGATACGGGCCTAGCATCGTTTAAAAAACGATGGAAGCTGTAATCAATGTCTATTTCTCAACCTGCAATTGAAATGAGAAGTTCCATGTGATCGAAAAAGAGAAAAGAAATGTGAGATAACAACAAGGTATGTAACAGTCTAACTTATGAATGTGACACGTTTGCCAAATAGCATAAGAATCAGGTGGTATAATTAGAGAACAAAATGTCTATGGCCGAGTTATAATCCTTATTTCATAGAAAATATTAGAGAGAGAAAGAATTGCGCAGCTCAGGTAGTTGAATTATCTATGAATATGATATCTGGGATTAAGACAAGAAGAGGGTTGTTCACTGGAAAGTACATTGTTATCTACACAGTTAAGTTTATAATACGAATTATAGATGAATTGTTTTTTTTACGCAAAAAAAAGAGGATAAACGTTAGGAAAAACGTAGCTGGGATAATTCCATTTTGTTCGTCTTTCAGCAACTTCATTCAATAGTTTGCTCTGGGATTAACGGCTTTTGCGACAATCCAACAAGATAACTTAAGTCCTCTATCAGTTAAAAAATACAGTAGAAATATGTATGAACGAATTTCAATTTATATATTTTAAAAATCTCTCTATTACAGAGTCGACTGGAATGAAAGGACATTTGAAGTCTTGGTATGCACTTGAACGAATAGAAGATTATCTTTGAAAGAGCTAATGGACTTTGTGAAACGTTGAACGAAAATGAAAATGCTCATGAAGATGAAAAAAGGATGATGAAGCGCGGTTGGTTTATCGAATACTTGTAACAAATGGGAGGAAATGCAATAAGATTAGATGATATGTGAGTGATAAACAGAGAGATCATTGAGTGATTTATGATAACAACAAAAATTTGTGATTAACTTAGTCATATGATTAAGGAATTCATGAAAATCATAACTTAATGAAAATTCGAAAGTAATAATCACAAGAGGAATTAGGAGGGAGAGAAGGAGAATGAGGGATTATGTGAGGAAGACCTTTGCCAATGGAAGAAGCCTTATAAGATGAAAAAAACCAGAAAAGTTCATTATATCACGACTTTTCAAAGATGAAGCTGGAGATCTGAACATCAGCGTCAAACGTTATGCAAATTTCACTAAATTCTAACGTAGGTCAACATGAAAACTTGGACTCCACTTCATTTTGATAAGTTGTGGTGTTGTGAACGGTTGTTCTCTGGGGCTCATCGAGTATTTTTAATACAATCATATTGTTTCATGAATGAAATTATTATTTCCTTTTGTATTTGGGCGACAAATTGCTCAGTTTTTATCATTTTTTTCTTTTTTTGCTTAGATATCGGCCACTATCGTCAATCAGCCTATTTAGCTGGGACGATTAGCTGTGATTTGGATGGTCGCCGTCAAATGCCAAATCGGGAAACAAGATTCATACATTTGAAGACTGAATGCTTTTGTTTTTTTATGAATAACGGATATCAAAATTCATTTTTTCATTATAGAACTGGGCAAGAGAAGTGTGCAAAAGAAGAAGAAACTAGTTGAGGAAGATAAAACTAAGGAAGACTTTTCAGTAAAAGAAAACAATCGAAGGAACATTTTCGAATATAAAATATATTTCTTGATGTGACAGTTCTGAAAACAAAAGTTTATATTGTCAGAAACTATCAACATTTCCGTGAAAAGATGACCAAAATGTAGTTTTGTTGGAATAAAAAAAAAAGAAATTAAAAGCAAAGACAGATATATATTAGAGGAAAACCATCCTTTCAATACTTATTAGCTTCAATATATGGAGCAAAATTGAAAATTGATATCGATTATGATCGTTCGAAGATTATTCATATTTGTAGTTTTCTATATAGCAGAATGAAGAAGAAAAAATTTTAATTTTGGAAGATTTTTAAGAAATTTTTTTGATTCACATTGTCGTTTGAGATTCAAAAAAATGCAGTGAAAGGCTTAATTAACGATTATCAATAGAGAGCAACATGACACATATCTTCTTCTGACAGCATTCTGAATATTTGACGACATTTTTGGTGATGGAACAAACGCTTTTTATGGAATTTCAATCTTATAGGAATAAGTCTCTCAAAAAATCTTTCTATTTTCTTTCTACTTGACTTATGTCTCTTTAGGTCATCTTTCATATCATTTTCTATATAAATTGGAATGAAGGCAAGAAGACGATTCAAGGAGGGACAGAGGAAGTACGAGAGAGAGGGACGCACGAAGCCAACGAGAGGTTAAGAGAGAAAGCCGAAACCTTAAAGCTCAACAAGTGGAAAAGCATCGAAGATTATCAAGGATCATTCACAGAAACTTGTATTTTTAACTTTCCTCTTCCTCATCAGATCTTTTAAAAAATGAAAACAAACAACCGCTCTGTACATTTGGATGTTTTCTAAAAATGATAATTTTCCACGTAAACGTTAACATTGCGTTAGGCATATGCAAATTACACAAACAAATCTCAAATTATTACTCAACGTCCTGTTTTCTTTTTTACAGAAGAAAATTGGAGAATATAAGAGGAAAAAACGATTGAAATGGCCAAACTACAACCATTAGGATACAGTTTTGCTTTAAAAAAGCAATGTTTTTGTTCAAATAATTGGTTATCGAGGGACAAACTTGAGACATTTGTTTTTAAAAAAGATTTTCCCTCTCTCTCTTTCCCTCTCTGAATTTCTTTCTCTCTTTCAAATGAATATATCTGAAGGGTTATAATTATCTCTTTAATAACATAATTAGCTTTATCGTTTCATGAAAGAAGAAGACGAGCGATTTGTGTGTTGAGCTTATGGAACATGATGTGTGAGCTGTAGTAGCCTATGGCCTCCTTGGCCAATTCAATTAGAAGTTCATTTGTTTTGGAATACAACATCATTTACTATGATTCAGATCGGTGTGTGAACGTTAAGACACTGAAAACCTTTCCGAGGTATGTTAAAAATGTATTTTTCTCTCTCTCTCTCTCTCTCTCTCTCTCTCTCTCTCTCTCTCTACATATTTCTCTATCGTCATATTCGTTCAAAGATGATGATGTGTATGTCTTTGTTGAAAAAAAAAAATATTTTCATCTATGGTGTTATGTAGTATGGATAGATAGATCAATAGAGTTCTTAGAACAGTTATTGATTAATTATGATGAAAGTATTTGTTGGGAGGTTTTGATGATATTTGATGAGAAGTTCTTGTTGAAATATATTTTTGCTTTTCGTTAGAATGAAATGTGCATATTTAATAATGAAAATAATTTAAAATGTAAGAAGAAATAGATCAGATCAGATCATATTTTATTATTTTTAATTCATGAAAAGGTTTCCCTTCTAATAATATTTATCTCTCTCTATATATATATCCTTTACTCTCTATATTCACTATAGTGAGAGGAAGAGTAATAGCAACCGTTCCCTAGATTGCATTTCATATCAAATGACTTCACGTCATTTTACGTGAAAATCATGAACTTTTTTGAAGCATACTAAGAGAGAGAGAGTTGGTGAGAAGAGACAGGAAGAGGAAGAGAGGTGAGAGCTTGTTGTCAGAGTTCTTTTTTACATGAATATCTTATATGCTGACCTTCCTTAATTATTTTATTTTCTGTTTACAAACTCATCTAGCAGAATACTTCTCCTAAAAAGGTAGAAGATAGGGGGAAAAGGGCGAGAAGGGACGATTACAAAGTGTAAAAGCGATCGTCAGATTATTTGATTCTCTTGAAGCTTTGTTGTTATTTGTTTTAACCTTGCAAAGTATAATTGACTCCTTCTCTCTTTCAATTGAATCTTCCATATAAGAACTTCATATCATGCTCTCCTTGTTTTGACATTAAACACTAATTACACTTTCAATTAGCTTTTGCTATTTCTGGAACTGCAGGTCAGACCGGAAGTCGAATTACTTTCCTTGCTCTTCCTTCAACGTCACCCCTCTCCAATACTCTAGCTGATAACCACTTTACGTTCTTCCTGCAGTCGCATGAAAGACAAAATTCAAGAATATTTGAAATTCTTTCTTTTATCTTTTCCGATACAAAAAGATTTTTCTTGTGTTTCTGCTCAAATGATCCTGTCGTCTTCCTCTCAATGCTTCTCTCTCTCTCTCTCTCTCTCTCTCTCTCTTTCCTTCTCTTGGAGTTCTTTTCACAAATTACATTTTTGACCTTTTTTCAGAAAATGCTGAACAAATAGTGTGTAAGCTCAAACATCTATAAGGAGTTGATACGTCACTCTGATCTTTCAAACAAATCTCTTGAGATGTGAGGGTGTAAATGGTCAAACTACAAGTCATCTATCAAGATACATTGCTTGCTCTTTGTCTAGTCCTCTGATAATTTTTCCTCAACCACAACGTTTGACACATACACTCTCTTTCACATATTTCGCCATTTCCCATTCATTTCGGTTTTGGGTGGATTTTTGCGTCATAAAGCAGTTATACGAATTTCCTCCTTTTTTAACCTTTACCTAAGCGTCTTTTTTTATGAATTTTCTTTGAAATTATGCGTTTATAACCTGAGGCGTAAAGGACTGAAAGTAGCTTTGACATCAGAAATCCCCTATGACGCTTCAAATTGAATCAAAGATCTTCTCCTTTGAGTGCTGTTTTTGAAGGTATTTAAGCATTTTAAAGATTATTCGCCATCTGACATCTCTTTCGAGATCTCCCTCGTTATCTATCATCAGGTTTAAGTCCTTTTCTCTTTGCTTCTTTGTATCTCCTTAGGCTGCATTTCCGAATATCAATCTCTCTCTATCATATTCATACTTACAATAAACCTTCTGATATATATATTATCAGAAAAGTATGTCTTACAGTATGATTTTCATCAAATTTACTTGTGATCAGCTTAATCCTAATTGTATGCGTCACAGCTTTTTTGTAAATTTAATTAGTCCGTTCACTCTTTGTGGATGTTTTGCAGCTAATTCTTGATCTTTCAGCAGATCTGATAAAAAGTTTTTTTTTGTTTTGTTTTCAAATAGCAAATTGCTGATTAGCTATGTACTAGAAGAAGCTTATAAGAGAGTATAAATATATTAATTAATCAAACTATATGACGCAATGTTTTTGGAATTCTAAGGACTTTATCATTATATTTTATCTTAATTAAATACTTTCTTTGCAAAAACACTAAGAAATACCGAAGAGAGAGGGAGAGAGAGAGAGAGATAGAGAGAGAGAGAGAAAGAGGGAGAAGCTGTGAACGTTTTTCGTTTCTTCCTTCAATTGAAGAAATCAAATTGTTCACCAGCCTTACTTCCCTTTCTCTTCAACACGTTCCTTCTCTCTCCCTCTTTACACGTATTAACCTTCTCTCTCTTACTTGTCGTCGCCCCCATCCCCTCCGCAGTTTTAATAAAATTCAAAAATTATTTAGTTTTTGAACATTTTTGGGTAAAATTTAGTCATAAACTAATCGAATTGTTTCATTCTTCTCTTTATTATTTTATAAATGTTATTGGAAATATTTTGTCGAAATAAAAAAAATTTTTTCCTCCTCAACTCAAGAAGGAACATGTCAGATGCAAAATGAAATTATTCAAAATTCAAAATATTCAATGATTATCATGCTCTTCCAACTAATTTTTTGTTTAAACATCTCCCTTACAGCCCCTCCCCCTCCATCACTCCGCCTTCTCTCTCTCTCTCTATTTCACTCATTTGCATAAACGTCAAAATAGGTCACGTGAGAGATCTTTTCACGTGTCTGTCAGTTGTGTCATTTAATTCGTTTTTGAATTTTTTGGGAGAGCGGTTGGAAATTTATTTTCTTCTCCTCTCCCCTCTCTCTCTCTCTCCCTCTTTCTTCTTTTTTTTCAAAACAAATTTTCTCTGATTTTTTGATTTTTTTTTTCTCTCCTTGCTTTTGTTCTATCACGATTCCTTTCAGTGGGAGAGAAATAACATATTCTAATAACACTTTCATAGCATAAAATGAATTTTATTATTTTCTCCTAAATGACTCTCTTTGTGGTTTTCGTGTCAAAAATATTGTAAAATTACTTTTTTTTGTTTTTTTTGGACTTAGATCGAAGTCCAGATGATGCTTTCCATGCTTGGTTTAATCTCAGCGAATATTACTTGATGATGACAGCTTCCTCATACAATGTCAAAAGCTTTCTTTAGTTCATTGTTATATATTTCTGTTTGGAAGATTTTTGAATTACTTCACACATACACACAAACTTCTTAAATTCACATTTTATGATCTACCACATACGTACATTCGTCAACAATCCTATATAGACATACTACAATTGGCTTCCATTAAGATTTTCAAATTTTTTTATTTTACTTTTGAATTCTGTGAAAATTAATTTCGAAATTGACATCATAGTCCCAGGAAGAGAGAATGCTTTGTAATTAAAGAAACGTTCATGTTATTTAAATGATTATCACGCTTGTTCCATAATAGATGAGAAGGAAAGAGATTCTATAGGATATACATCGCTAGGTTGGAAAAAACAAAAAAAACTGACGAGTTAACCTCTCTCTCTCTTTCTCTCTATCTTCTTCTGGTTCTTTCTCTCTCTCTTCCCCTCTCTCTCTCTCTCTCTACATACCTATCTATTGTTCATCCTCTTTCCTGCTTTAATTCAGTTTCATTGCTCAGTGTGTGTATACTTTGCAGTTTTTTTCTTAATTAGCTGAAAACGACAACCTGTCTTTATTTGGATAGATAAAGCTCTAATGCTAATTATTTATATGCAATTTGTTTACTTGGAGTTGTTTAACTGTTCTGTAAAGACAATAATACGAAAGAAAGTGTAGAGAGCGCGGAAGGAAAGGAGGGGAGGAGGGAATGGAAAATCCAGAAAAGGGTGGAGAAAGGGAGATTTTATAAGACAACATTCCTCCGTCTAGAGCCTTGGAAAGCCAAAACTCTGAAAAGATTCAATTATTAGCTGTGAAGTTGATAAGATCGCTCCTACTTGTAAGAAGAATACTTCCTTTTTAAGTTTTTTTTTTTCGAACATATTTTCCATTTGTAGACAGTTGCCTCTGTGATACTCTCACATTGCTGAAATTTTACTGTAGTTTGTATTGTTTTTTTTTATTATTGTTACTTGTAGGTAACACAGAGCATGGTGCTGCGATTAAGCAGGCCTCTGTTCTTGTTCATACTGTTCGTATGGATTTCAATTATTCAATCTTCTTTTATCAGAGAAAGAAAGTCACTTAAAAGTAAGTTCTTAATCTTCTCCTATGATAAGCATGCATATCTCCAGATGATTATGATTTTGACTTATATGATGATCCTGTAGCTGACAGAGTTTACGATCGCATGTCAACATTATGTGGACGTTTACGTAAGAGAAATAGCATAAGTAAGAAGAATGAAGAATTTGACGCACGTCAACGTAAATCTCCAGCTCCATTGGTGATGCGACTGTGTGATTTGCTTGCTTAGGAATAGCAGTATGCAAAAAGCTCACAAACACATACACCCACACACACTAAACAACAACAACAACAACAATCAACATCAGCTGTAAGAAGATGAAGCCTCATCTTCTTTATATCTATTTTTAACACGACACGATGGCTTTATTAATAATATTCAAGTACTGTTTATCACATATTCTAATTTTATGCTAATTTTGCGCTAACCTAAAGATTTTGACGTGATTCTCTCACGTCAACTCATTCATTCCTTTCTTCTTCTATCATTTACCAATAGAAGGCGCAAGTTAAGCGGTTGCATTCAAACTTCAGCAACAAGACGAAACGGATAAGATAAATTATTTTTGATTTTTTTTTTAGTCTGGACTAGTAACTCCATAACATCAGCATCAAACTACATCTAATGAGCATTCATAAATGAATTTTTACTACGACCCATCCAACTTACTAAGTTGGAGAAAAAATAAAATTTTTTTTGCCGTCAGTCCAATATATATTCATCTAAAAAAATAAAATTAAGTTGTAACTTTATTCATCAAAATATCAAAAGAAAATGTTAATATTGTAGTTCATACGATTATTATTACTTCACTAACACATAATAAGCTTTGAATAATACTTTAATAACATTTATATATTCTGTATGCAATCTAATATATTTTGTTCCATCATGTTTCAATGAGTTTTCGAATATACTTTCCTTTATCCCTCTCTATACCTCTCTCTCTCTCTCTCTATCTATCTTAGCGTTTTCTTTTTGTTTGTATATGGTAGTCCTGGAACAAATAAAGGATACAACTTACTTCAATTTCTTACAGATATTTTTTTTGTTCTCTTTTACTACAAAAAAACAACTTGGACAAAAAAATGTTTTTTTTTCGCATATCTCTAGTTGTTGGGATGAAAGACGATGTAGTATGACGGCGAAAGAAAATAGAAAACGAACTTTCGATGGACGAAACCTCGTGGCTAAAATTGAAACAGGAGAGTGTAAAGTGACCTAATAGGTAAGATTTTTCTTAAACAAGAGGCGTTTTCTATCTAACGAGGTCGTCGACGAATTCTTCTCCAACCTATTTCAATGACCTACTGATAGCCAGGTACTTCATTCATTTGGATGTTTTATTTCAACATTTTGCTGTTCGTTCCGTCAAATCTTGTGTCTCCATTGCAAATTCCTCTTTTCTTATTTAATTTGAAAAAATGGAGTTGTATCCTCTTTTATTTATGAAAATACTTAATCATGTTTGTTTATTTGGAGATTATAATGGATGTGGCTTCCTGTTCGAGGAAAGCCACTTTTCTGGCAACAGTCATTTCAACAATCGGGTTGATTGCTGTTGTTATCGGTCTTCCTTTGATGCATTTCCATGTCCAGAAAGTTACAACTCTCATGCTTACTGATGTCGAATTGTGCAAGGCAAGAAGAGATTTCAGTTTGCTTTTTATATGCTCATACCATGTTACAGGCTGAAGCTCGAGACATTTGGAAACAGATGGCTTTCACAAGAACTGGCGATGTTCGCACGAAGAGACAAACTCCATATGGGAATTACGGTGGAATGGCTTCCGGATCTTGTTGTGCTTGTACTCAAGGCTCACCAGGCCCACGCGGGCCTGCCGGACAAGAAGGAGAAGATGGTCTTCTGGGAAGCCCTGGAAGACCTGGTCTTAACGGAAGAGATGGAAAATATCTACCAGCGCCTCCACCCGGAACTAATGCTTGCCAAAAATGTCCACCAGGGCCACCCGGACCACCAGGTATGCCAGGACAGAAAGGACCACGTGGGCCACCAGGAAAAGCAGGAAATTCTGGGAAGTTTGGTGAAGACAACCGTCCTGGACCCCCAGGACCTCCAGGAATTAGAGGAGAGCCTGGTGCTTCCGGACCCAAAGGACCCCCAGGAGACAGAGGAAAAGTTCTCAACGGAGCTCCTCCAGGACCTCCAGGCCCATCTGGAAAGGTTGGGCCTCGTGGGCCACCTGGAAGTCGTGGTCATGATGGAAAACCAGGATTGTCTGGAAACCAAGGTGTTCGCGGAGCTGTGGGATCAAGAGGGGATCCAGGAAACCCAGGATTACCAGGACCACAAGGACCTAAAGGAGAACCCGGAAACCCGGGAACATGTGCTCATTGCCAAGAAGTATAAATTTTCATTGCAATTTTATATCTCAAAATTTGTGTTCAGAATGCACCACCACCTCCACCAGAGGATCATGAAGCAAAACCAGAAACAGAAGCACCTTCTGCCCAATATGCTGCTTCACCAGAAAACTTACCATCGAACGAGTATTTATGGATTCATTAGTATAATTTCATTTTTAATAATTAATAAACTGTAATAAAGCTTATAAATATAACAATAGAAAAGTTTGAAAGTGCAATCATACTGAACTTTAAAATAAAGAAAACGACTTCAACTTCAGCTATATGCTGTCATGTAGAAACATTCGAAATGTGTAAGTCATTTCTCTAATCTTTGGAACAGTATTCACAATCCGAATCAATCGCGTACACAGTCGCATGTCTCTCACGCCCACCATTATTCAATAAGAAAGTATTGATTTTTAAAATTAATTAAAAACGTTGTAAGTACTGTTTGGAAATTGAAGATTTATGGAATCCATATTAAAATACTAAGAATAACCTGTTTGCAACACAGGAATTAACATAATATTTCATAATGAGCCCTCTGCTGGAATTTAATGGTCTTGTCGCGATGTAAATAAGCGTCAGGTCAAGACTAGAAGTAGCGTCAGCGACGTAATCAATAGAGATTCCACTTTGTTTGAGTTTATTTTTTTTCTGTATTTTGTACTATTCTTTATTTATTTTTTCGAAGATATAGTAAATAAAAAGCGTATTTATCATTTGAAATTATTTTTAAAGTCTAAAGTATGTGTGTTTTACTTTTAAACTTGTGTTCCGTAACATATGATTTCAATTTTTTCAATTCTGTTATATAGGTGGTAAACCCGGAAAGAATTATTCAAGTTTGTGCAATTGAACTTGAATATAACAAAAATTGACATGGGTAAGTTGAATTTTCTTTAATTAGTAACAGGTTATTGTTTGAAGCGTACAATGGTAGCTTTGCCAGTGGTGCGACAGGAACTTCTGCGACCGTAGCCACAAACGATGCCTTTGTTGATCCCAATGTAATATTATAAACCTATTCAACTCATAACTTTCCACTTTTCTTCAGCAACAAAAAGAGTATGAAGCAGCTTGGGCTCAGTATTATGCTCAAATGGGACAACAAGATCCCAACGCAGCTGCGGCTGCTGGTGCCTCCGTAGGAGCCGAGGTTTGTTCCGTTTTTCAAAAATTATTCATATGCTGTTGTTCTTAAGTATTCTGGATATTATGCTGAAGCCAGTGCTCCAGCACCTGATGCTTACAATCCCACCGAGTACACACCAAAGCCTGTTTATGAAGAAGGAGGATACAGTGCAAATTTCGCAGGTTTTTTAAAAATAGTCAATCGTCCAATTTACTTCAAAATTAGCGAGAGGAGGATCTCGAGGTGGCTTTGATCGAGGTGGTCACAGAGGTGGACGCGGCGGTGATAGAGGTGGACGCGGAGGATTCGGTGGAGACCGTGGCGGCAGTTATGGCGGTTATAACAGCGGAAGAGGAGGATTCGGAAGCGATCGTGGTGGCTCTGATAGACCTTTTGGAGACAGTGGTCGTGGAGGCTTTGGCGATCGTGGAGGATATGGCGATCGTGGATCTCATGGAGGTGACCGCGGTGAAAGAAGCTATGGAGACCGTGATAGAGGCGATCGTGACCGCTCTGACAGAGGCTATGGAGATCGCGACCGTAATGATAGAGGAGACAGAGATCGGGATCGCGGTGGAGACCGTGGGGATCGTGGACGTGGTCGCGATTATGGCAGCAGAGGTTTGGCTTTATCATGTGCGATGTACTAAATTTTTATAAAGACGCAGGAGGAGGCTTTGGAGATCGTTATGGACGTGATGGCGGATATGGAAGAGAAGGAGGCCGATCTAGCCGTTGGGAAGACAACAGCCGTGGTGGTCGCGGAGGCGGATTCGGAGGGTTAGTAGGCTTTTTTCGTTTTTCTCCCAAAATTGCAATAGTCCGAAGTACTTGTGCAAAATGTTTCTTCTTCTTTGGAACAGTTCTAGATTATTTAGTAAAGTGTACGATGTTCAGTTTTGGCCTAATGGCTTAGCTTAAAGAGTAAGATTTCATTTCGAATAAGAGAAGACGTAAGTTTGTGAAGGGTATATATAAGTTCTATAAAAGTCATGATAGAAAAAGAAGTTAAACAATCTGTTTTGCTAGTATCAGTTTTGTGTGAACAATTAAACGCCCCTGGGCAAAGGTTTAAAATATGCTTCAGCCTACAAGTCTCGACGTATCGAATTCTCATATATTATCCACAAGTGTTCATGTTCAAACGAAGACGAATCAGCACAGCCTCAATCGCTTATCTCCTTCTCTTAAAATTCAAAAACTGTTTGTCAAATTTTTGAAATTTTTACAAATATTATTGGAAAATAATGGAGAAGGGGATAGCTGTTGATCTGTCTGGTGCAAGTTTGTACCGATCAGATCTCATGGCTTGAATGTTTCAGACCGGGCGGCGGCCCCGGTGGAAGAGGAGGTTATCAAGGTATTTATAAGTATACCGTGTATCGTGTTAAATTCTATTGTAAAACTATGAAAACGGTCTGCGTTAAAATGAGTCATGACTCGTGAAAACAAGCATTCAGTCAAATTTTGAATCAGCCATCCTGGCATTTCTCTTGAAAAACACGGGTATTCCATAAAAATTTCATTTGAGCATTATTGCAGAAAGGGGCGGATTTGGCAGTGGCGGCTCACGCGGAGGATCTGGAGCTTCTGCGCCTGGAGCTGGAGCTGGAGCTGGTGATGATCGCATCGAGCTGAAAGAAACAGTCTTTGTCCAAGGAGTACCTACAACGTAACATTTGACTCATAGTTTTTTTAAATGATCATTCTTTACAGTGCAAACGAAACATATATTGCTGATGTTTTCTGCACAGTAGGAGAGATCGCAAAGAACGACAGAACAGGTGAACCTCGTATAAAAATTTATACTGATAGGGGAAGTGGGGAGCCCAAGGTATAGTTTTTAGAACAAAAACATTCTCTTATCTTTTTTTTCTAGGGAGAATGTATGATTACATTCGTCTCAGCCGATGTTGCTCAGCAATGCATTCAAATGTATAATGGACAAGCTTTCCCTGGAGCTGATAAACCAATGATCATAAGCATAGCCAAGTTCAAATCTCAAGATTCTCGTGGAGGTGATAGAGGAGGCTTTGGTGGACGCGGAGGAATGGGAGGCCGAGGAGGACGAGGCGGTCGTTTCGGTTTTGATCTTCCGGAAACTAGTCTTAATCATGTACTCCAGATGATGGTGGATTCGGTGGAAGAGGCCGAGGTGGCGGATTCCGCGGTGACAGAGGTGGCTTTGGAGGTCGAGGAGGAAGAGGTGGTATGAACAACGGTTATGAACAACGCCAGAACGACTGGGTCTGTGGAGACTGTGGTAACAATAACTTCGCATTCAGACAGGTAGGTTCAGTGTTTTTTGTTTGTTTTTAAAGTTTATTTGTTAAGGCATGCAACCAATGCAATGCTCCCAAACAGGGAGGTGGCGGTGGTGGTGGTCAATCCAGTGGTGGACCAATGAGAGGTGACAGTGCTGGAGGTGGAGATAGACATCGTCCTTATTGATTATTGTTAACCTAAGCATGTTCTTCATCGTTTTCATTCTGAAATTTCGATCTAGTCGAAATGGATCTTCCCAATTTAAAAGAGTTCAGATTGCTAATAGCTGTAATATTCAAGCAAGTAGTTAATTAACTCCGTTGATTTCGAAAAACATTCTTATAACTGCCTCATCCAAATTTGTAAATATGCTTTCTATGAAAGTTTAACTTACATTTTTCTACATTGAATCCATGTGTGGCCCAAAAGTAAAAAACTGATAAGAATCTCATTTTGATATGAATGTGCGTCGAAACACATTATGTTTGAGTGTGGCTCTTTTCGGTACGATATGGTTGATGGATGTATATCTTCTTTATTATATTAAGGTATTATCTTCTTCTCTATTAATAACTTGTTTCTCTGGTTCTCATCTTCATATTTACCGTTTGTTCTATTTTTCTTCAAAAAGAAATGAAGTCACATTCAAAACAAACTCCCCTCTTCTTCATATCATCAAAATACCTCTCTACATCATTTTATAATTGATGTGACCCAACGGAAACAGTAGAGGACTTTCAGTTGGGGGATGTCCTTGCCAGCCAGCAACTATTCGTTCTGTAATTTGTGTGATATTTTGCTTCCGCCATGGACAGTTCTACTAAAACAAATGATGGAACTTCCAAAAATGATTCTTTCTGGACTGTTATTTGGTTGAATTGTGCCATACTTGGTGCCACTTTGCTAATGAATGTTTATATGATATATTACATAAAAGTAGGTTCAGTTATTCCTGTGTTGACTTGTGTCCTACATACTACGGAACTGTTTCAAGCTTTTTATTTTTATCAGTTTGTGCTCAGGGAATTAATATACTTTGTTCAAATATATAAGAACAAATGCCGTATCTTATCTTTTTATTTTTTTAAGAATCATTTTTCAGGTTTTTCTTGATAAGTTCCACTTAGAGCCAAGCTATCTTAATAACATCCAAATCCTCTTCCTTATTTGGAATGCCATAAACGATCCCATTCTGGGTTTTGTCCAGGTTCGTGTCTCATCTTATGATATGTGATCGAATGATTTCAGGACTTGGGATGTTGTGGAATTACTTGGATTCAAGATCGACGTAAAGTTGTCTTGTACTGTGGACCAGTGTTCTCAATAGCTTTCTTACTTTTCTGGTTTCCTTGGTCATCGTGAGTTGTCTTTTGACATTCACAATTCGAACGGAATCATTTCGTTTTCAGTGACAGCAGTGTAGTCATTGGCATTCAATTGTTGGTATCTCTTTTCATTTTCGATACGTTGCTGACACTTGTTTTATCTGCTTATTGCGGACTATGTGTAGAAAAATGCCAAAAACATCAAGATCGAGTGAGGATTATAGTCTATGGGGAACTTGTCGGTGTTGTAGGTAAGAAAATCCGTTTACATAGTTAAGCACAAGTGTCCAACTATTCTTGTGACATAAGAAGGAATCAGTTTACACGCGTCAACCACGTGGAAAGATGATAATTTTATTATTGAAAAAGGAGAGGAGCAGATAATCTTTTGTAAACTTTTAGCCGAGGTTGTAATTATTATAGCCTCCAAATATGGGAGAGGAGAAGGATTACATTGAACTTTATGAATAACATAATGCCCTACAAGGTTATCGCTCAAGTTTATAATTTCAGCCGGCTTTCTTATAATGCCTATGGAATCACTGACGGACAACTTAGAAAAGTTTGATATCTTCCAAATATTTACCGTTGGAATAGCCCTTCTATCAGCAGCTTGTCTGTTTTTCTGCGGTTTATATTTGAAAGATGATCAAACTGGTGGGGAAGAAGAAATGAAGAAACTTGAAGTTAACTTAAACCATTGGAAGTTATTTTGATCATTATTTATTCAGGAAACAGAGGAGCTTGGAAGTGATTGGCGTTCCGTTCTCACCATCTCTTGGCAGATTATCAAGGAGTTCCGTTTCATAGCATTAGTCGGAGCGCAATTTTTTAAAATCCTCCGGTATTTGCATTAACAGCGATGTACAATCGTCAATTCATCCAGATTTATGGGAAACGAACAGTTCCTCATAATTTTTGTGGAAGCTTTGTTGACAAATCATGGCTTATTGGAGAGAGGAAGTAATATGTTAGGATTTTATTACGTGCTCGCAAGATCTTTAGGAAATGTGCGCTAAGTGAGATAATCAGATATAAAAGATGGATATTTTCAGATTTTGTTCTTAGCACTTTGGGTTCCTGTGAACAAATTGGGATGTCAGTGGGTTATTCAAGGGATAAATATTGTGAGCTTGTTCAACTGTGCGTTTGCTTACATGGCAGGTTCGAACAATTTTTGGGCCATCGCCATATTCATTGTAATCGAAAAGTAAGTTTGGCCCAACAAATCTGTTCACATTCATTTTACATTCATAGCACTTTATGCCGATGTGGATGGCAGGGTTTCTACATGGTGATTTCAGGTGAAGTTATTGATTCGGACAAGATTATTAACAAGAGAAAGTATTTTTCGTGTTGATTTTGATGAGTCAAACGATGCATCTTCAGATCACCTTTGTCCACAACAATTTTCACAATGAAAGCACTATTCACGAAACCTGCCGACCAGCTAGCTCCTGTGATTCTTCTGGCTTTCCTTCAAACAAGTTATTACAATGAGTTCAAGTCATTGTGTTGGCCTAATGAACATCTGTCCACTTTGAATCCTGGTAATATGACGATATCTTCAACGATATCCCCAACTGATCTGTAAGTGTGAGCTTTTACATTTAATCTGACATCTTCATATAGTGATCTGCGGTGTACGAACATACGACTGACGACATTCCAAGCTTTAATTTTCTTTCCCATAATCTGCTGCATTGGAGAATCTCTTTTCGTGCTACTCGACCAGTATGTTGTTTGGAAATCAGGGAATGACACGAGGCCAGCAGTTAATGAAACAGAAAACGGGAATATTGAGATGGTAACTCAAACAAAAATGATAGCATCTTCAACATGACACAAAACAGAAGATTTTTCAGCCATGTATTGTAGAAATAGACATCCAAACATTTTGAAATCGTTTCATTACGGCTTGCAATTTAATACTTAAGAGAATAAAACATTGTTTCGATTATGGTAATAGGGTAAAGACTTAATTTTTTTTAAATTTCCGGATGAACCTTCCGTTAATCGTCATATACCTCATAGGCTCACATCTTCGATCTGGAAAAGGTTTCACAGCGACATTTTTCATGAAATCACGTATTGTTTGAGAAAAATTATTTTCACCAAATAATAAATCGTACGTGGTTAAGAGTTTTTGGTGCAATTTTCAGTGAGACATGTCAAGTTTGATTCTCTTCACCACCTTTTCCCTTTGTTTTTTTCACGATTTTTTTGTGTTCTCTGTAAGATCTTGTAACCAGTAAGATAGAGAATTGAATTATGTCTAAGCTATAATAGTCTTCCTTCTACATCCCTTGTTAATTTCGTACCCTTGCCGTATCCGTTTGACCAGTTGGCATTGTTGTTTTCATTTTGACATGCTTC